TTGATAACTTCAGACACAATGGGAGCCCTGCAAAATCATTTCCTGACACAGATTTGGATTTGTTTCATTTCTTCTTTGTAACACGTTTATATTTCAGGGCTGTGACTGCCCAAAGAGCGATAAGACACTCCAGAGCCTTCCCCTGATTTCTACTCCAGTCTCCCTCCACGAGAGTGCCCTGGCATGTGAGGCACAACTGCAGGCCCTGCAGAGATGGTGCTTCCTTTCCTTGGGCTCCCATTTTCATGCAGTTCTCAAGACAAGACTCTTTACTCTAAAATTGGGTCCTTCCCCAGCTCTCCTCTTTGAGATTCTTCCAGTGTGTAGGGCTGCTGGGCAGCTTTCCCTGATGGTTATGGAGGAGGCAGTATCTACTGTTCAGTAGATTTTGTGCCACACAGAGCTTCATGGCTAAGATTCTCTGGTGACCAAAGTATTGCCCTTGACACATCACCAGGTGTGGCTCTTAGAAAGTTATTACCTTTATCACACACATACACACTCACTCTGTGTGTGTGTATACACATTCTGTTTACACAGGCAACTGGTTTATATTTTTCATTCCAAAAGAAATCTGATTGCTGCTGAAAAAAAAAGCTCAAAGTCTTAAACATGCTGCCAATAATGTGTCCATCAGGGAGGGGGCCAATTTGTTTGCTCTCTTCATTGATGTGAAAAACAAGCCATTTAAGATAAAGCTACCTGTGAACAGGGGGGTTGATTTTTAAAACTCACACAAAAAATGTCAAAACCACAAAGGTTTTACTCTTTAAATGAAAGAAGGGGAGAGGGGATGTGCTGTCACACAGAGGAAAGCAAGTCTAGCATTTTGGAAAACAGCACAACCCTGCCCTTTGTGTTCTCCAGTCCATGCTGGGGTTGGTATTAGACAAATGTTGAGCCTGTGGCCCTGCTGTGACCTCATGCTGTTCATCTGGAGACCCCAGTGAGAGGGCTCAAGACCAGCCAGGCAGTGAAGGGCTCGGAGAAAGGCTGCCTTCAGCTCACCCAGGCAGAGCTGCCTGCACCAACAAAGAGCCCACTGATGGGGCGTCTCCAAGTGGTGCCTCATGGCCAGCCATCATCATCTCATCTGAATTAATAGGATTATTATAAAATAATGTTCTTACTTCCACATGCCAGAGGCATGAAATAGGATATGCTTTCTTCTTCTCTCCTCTCTGCTTCTCACCCGGGAAGGGTGGGGGGAGGGCAGCAGAGATGGCTTTATCCCTGCTCACTCCTTGGCTAGCAGGATGGAGCGGCCAGCTTAGTGCAGCTTGCTTTGGTGATGAAGTGTGCTTTGGGGGCCCTTTTTGCTCCCGCAGCCCCAACAGCTTTTTGGGAAGTAGCTGTGTGTAGCTGGGGGGCTGAGTAAGAGCAGCAAAGGAGCAAAGAGGAAGCAAACCTGGTGTCATCAGATGAACACAGAGGGAAGAATGTGCTGTGGCTCAGAGAGGAGGGGAGTAGCCTGAGGAGCTGTTTTGTTTTTGTTGTGTCAATATGGACCAGTTTGGAACTGAATGATGACTCCTGTTGTTTCGTATCTCTGCATGGGCTGGAAGGCAAAGTCCTTCCTTTGCCACACCAGCTTCTCCACAGCCCTGTGTGACATCCACATGGTCAATGGCAGTGACTTTACATCTGCCTTATCAAGGAAATTTCCAATTTCCCAGCAGAAGGTGCTGACTTTCATCAGCCTTTAATCCCTTGCTTTGGTAGCACTGATAGAGAAAGCAGAGTTGACCGTGGGCAGTGGCTGGTCCAGGAGCACAGAGCAGCCAAAGGGAATGGGAGCCCAGGGAGCCCCACAGCCAGTTCATCTGGGGGCGTTTGCTGAGCAAAATGAATGGTTTAGGCCCACCTGTCAAAAATACCTTGTAATTTTTAATATCTGCTTTTTGGGTCACCGAGCTTGAGACAGCTGGACTGCTGGACTTGAGCAGGTGGCAGGACCCTTCTCACCAAGCTGACCTTGTGAAGTGGGACAACTCTCTGTTGCTTTTGAATAGAAAACCCCTGCACTGGGAAACCCTTTGCTTTTACTTTTTTGTTGTTGTTGTTGTTGTTGGTGGTGGTGGTGGTTTTTTTTTTTTTTTTGTTTTGTTGTTTTGTTTTTTTTTTTTTTTGTTCCTATAGACTAACTAAACCCTTTGGCTTGTTGGGCCAGGGTTACTGGGTACCTCCAAAAGAACAGGTCTGAGAAAGCATTTCTTTAAGGGTACTTTACTATTTTATATAGCCATGCATTCTCATTAGTTCTTCTTTTGAGAGGGAAATTTTTTTTTCTGGGTGCTAGATTTAGTAGTGTCCCAGCTAGCCTTTTTTTCATCAGTGTGAAACCCTGCCTCATCAGTGGGAGATAAGCCACTAGTTTTAGGGGGGACCAAATTTCTCTCTGGAGCCCTTGCTTTAGTGGGTGAAGTGGCAGAGAGTCTATAAAGCCCCTTTCCCCCCCAGCATTGGTAATGTCAAGGGTGGGAATCGAGTTCCCTGTCAGCGCTGTCCCTGGTTAAGAGAGCCCCTGCCCTCACAGCCCTCTCCCTGCTCTGTCGCTCTGCCCGTCCCCCTGCTCCAGGAAAATCATTAATCTCCCCTTGTTTCCCCGGCCTTTCCCAGACTGCCTTCAGCGAGGAAAAACCAGCGAGAAACAGCGCACGAGTTTTTCCCAGCTCCCTGGCCGCTGACCCCCCGTGCGGAGCCCGCAGAGGAGGTGTCAGCGCCCCGCGGGCTCCCAGGCTCCCCGGCTGCCCGCGGCGGTGACAGCCAGGTTGTCCCGTCTGTTGTCAGTCCCAACACGCCGCGTGCTGCCACAACACGCCTGGCACGGCCCTGGCACGGAGGCGGTGACCGAGCCGGACAGCGTTCGGTCCCGTCCACCTGGGGGCTGTTTTGGGACAGAAAAGGTTTCTCTTCTCTGGTCCAGACCGGTTCTGACCTTAAAAGCAAAGGTCTGCCGTGCCCTGGCTGGGACGGGACATTTGTCCCGGGCTGCCCTCCCCTCCCGGCGCCGCTGCAGAGCGCTGCTGTCATTGTCACCCGCGGACGGACGCCGGGCGAGGCGGGGGACAGCTCGGAGAGAGGGCTGGCGAGGAGCTGGCAGGTAAAGCGGCCGCAGCTGCTGCGCCCCGTGCCCCGCGGCGCCGCCGCCGCCCGGCCCCAACCCGAGCGCTTCCGCGCCTTTCAATGGAAAAGCGGCGCGGGAAATGCGGGGGTTTCTCAACGCACTGCTCTTCTGCCAAAGCAAAAAGTGGGGGCGAGGGAGAGTGGGGAAGGGAGGAGGTGATTTTGGCAGAAGTATTGCTGGCCAGCAGGTGCTTTTGGGCGAGCCTCCTGCACCTGTAGGAATAATTGAGGGCTGAAAGCTCTGCCTTCCTTGGAGTAGGTATTTCTCTCATTCCAAATCGACATGAAAGTGAGCTTTTGGAGTTTTTCCTGACAGATTACCAAGGAAGAATAGAACCCTGGCTTTGGATGGTTTGAAGCAGCTTAAGATATTTCTAAATATTTAATTTTGTTCTATTATTTCTAAGGATTTAGCACTTCTTTTAATGGAAGCTAACTGCAGGTTTAGATATTCAAACTGCTTTAGTTTATAGTTTCTTCACACTTTTCAGTCTAAAGAAATTAGGATTGGCTACTTTGGTGGTCTCTTAAACTTTTTTATTTACTTACCACAGATATAATTTGCATGAGTGGTGAGTCTCTTGCAGCTTTTGTCTTTTTCTCCTGTGAAAAATACAGTTTGCTGGAAAATGTCCAATCAAATTTAAAATGTATATACTCAATCCATTTAAGCTGGTGCATGATGTTTTCTTTTAACAAGCTATTAGTTATTTTCAGTATCCTAAATTTTCGAGTGAATGGGTACAGAGAGAAGGAAAGTTCCCAGGACATTTGGGCAAATACAGACCTGTGACTATCATGCTCCTGTTAAATAAGCCTTTTATATCTTGAAATGCTTCTCTTATATTTAAGATTAATCTTTTTGTATATTATAAAGAGAATTCTTAGAATCCACAATTTATTTTAAAAATGCTGAAAGATAAGGTTGATAGAGACAGAAGGGGTTAAAGACGATTGACTTGCTACCCTTGTCAACAAGTAGAAGTGACGTTATGAAGGGATTTTGTTTTGCTATTTATAAAACAGGCTTGGTACAAAATTAAATGCATGCAAGAAGTGTATCTGCTTGCATGTTTTTCTCTGGGAAAAGATAATCACTGTGTTTGTACATGCTGATCAGTTAATTTTGTGTGAGAACAACTAAAGACAATTTCTATGTTCAGGTTATTTAAAGTAAATAATAATGAGCATAGAGATGATAGGAAATTTTATGCAATGCATGTTATTTCATGTATCTCGTTTTGAAAACAGTCCTTTATGAGGAAAAGATTATTTTGAAATCCTAAAGGTTGTTTTAGTTTAAAGAAAATAGTTTGCTCTTCTCCCCACACCCATATAACATGCTCCAGATGGGTTTGCAATGTTCACACTATCAATGACAGTGACAAAAAGCCAGTCAGGCCTCTTTCACTTGTCTAATTGCAAGGTGAAATCATTAGGGTTTGTTACTTTGGGGGATTTTTGTCTGTGTGTTTAAGGCAAAGAGAAATTAAGTTATTTCCACTCACAGCATCCAAAACCAAATTACAGAGCCTGAGTGCAGTGGTCTGAAGTGCTTAGGTTCAGCAGAGGACAGGGCAGGGTGTTTGCTCATCATTTATCACAGGAGACTGGTGACTCTCCCCTTTCCCTGTGGCACACACATACCTTAGCATCTATCCCTGCTCTGGTGGGATGAAGCCTCATGTAGGTTCAAGGAGGCTCTTAGAAGAGGAAGAAACCCTTATGGGGAATGTGATGGGCAGCACTGTGTTATCTTCCAGCACTTTGACTCAGTGACCCTATGTTCCTGCAGAGCTTGGCGCCTTCTTGCACCTGCTTGGGCAAGGGATACTGTGCTGCTGCCACGAGGACTCCCACGGCCTTCCCGGCCAGAGAAGAGTGCCAGCATGGCCTCTGTCTTCCGGAGTGAGGAGATGAGCCTGAGGCAGCTCTTCCTGCAGGTGGAGGCTGCCTACTGCTGCGTGGCTGAGCTGGGGGAGCTGGGGCTGGTCCAGTTCAGAGATGTGAGTAGTGCCTGGCTGGCATGCTGAGCTGTTGGAGACATGCCCCAGAGTGTGCTTGTCCTTCTCTCAAAGCACTTGGGAAAGATGCACCTGTAGGAGGTGCATCTTTTTGGGAGGCCAAAAAGTCCATGGTGAGAGCAGGATTTCCCCAAGGCTAATCTGAAACCCAAACATCATGCCAAGACCCCACCCATCCCTGAGACCCCACCCAGTGCTCTGCGAGCCCTCTGCACAACCTTAGAGCAACCCTTTGCATCATGAGGACACGGGAAGTGTCTCCATGAAGGCCCCTCTGTGACTCCTGCTGTCACAGCAGGTTGTGGGGAAGGTCCTGGGCCATGAGGAATCCTATGGTATTGCCCTGCCAGTAGGACCCTCTCAGATCCAGTGGTGTTTGCCATCCACACCAAAGGCACTTGTTCTCTGCTAGTGTTAAAAAATGAGCACAGCACTGTGCTGCCTTCAGCCCCAGGCTTGTTTTCCCTCCTGTTTTTAGCTGAATGTGAATGTCAACAGCTTCCAGAGAAAGTTTGTGAATGAAGTGAGAAGGTGCGAATCCTTGGAGAGAATCCTGCGTAAGTAAACGCTTGTCAAATGCAATCGGCTTCCTGCCAACTGGTGGTGTGGGATTTATTTCTTTAAGTGCTCTCACACTGGGGAGCAGAATTAGTGGCAAAATGGTGATGTTTTCATCTGAGCCCTGGAAATGTTTTCCATGCGTCAGCTAATTACCACTTCACCCCATATGGGCAATAAATTGTTGCCCTTGTTTTGAAAATGGTTAGCTGAACTTAAAACTGTTAATTAGCTTTTACAAAATCACAAGATAAATCTGGGGATAAGCAGGAGGCTGGTCCAGATAACCTGACTCTTACACCAGTCCACCAGGCGCTGGCACACACTTCTTCTGGCCAAGGGCTTCAGCCTTGGGATAAGTCCTTAAAATACAAGCAGCAGAGCTTCTTGTATTCCCACTGTCCTGTGGATGTGTGTCCCGGGAGCTCTGCACTCTCCCCACCACAATGCTGGTGCCCACTGTACCCATGGTGGCAGCACCTGGCATTGTTGGCCAAGCAGAGGAACCTGAGCTTTCTGCGGGCCTTACTCACTGCCCCAAATAGAGAGGGCCATGGTGTCCCTTTGTGCCAGGGCTGGGAGCTGGCCACGTGGGAATGGGCGCCGTGGCTTCAGAAGAAACAGCACCTCCACTGAGGAAGGAGGCTGGGGGTGTTAATTCCGTGGTGGCTGTATGTATGCACTGGGATGATGGCACTCATGTATCAGTTAATCTTGTCACACCTCCACAGGATGCTTGGTCCTGGCTGAGCAACAAGCTGGTGACCAGGATGACGCACCAGGGATGATCCTGTGTTGAGATTTCTGTGCCCTTTCCTTGCAGGTTTTCTGGAAAATGAGATGGAAGATAATGTTGAAATAGTCAAAGGAGAAAAGTATCCAGAGACACCCCTGCCTCGGGAAATGATTGATATGGAGGTACAGAATTTGGAGTGTGCCCAGGAGAAGGAAATGTTGTGCCCCAGGTTGTCTGTGTAATGTGCTCAGTAGAGCCCTCCCTGCAAGGGTCTGGTGCCTGAGGCTAGCACAACTCCCCCTGCCCAAGGAGGTGCTCCCCAGGTTGCTGCCTCAGCACTTAGGTTGAAGCTGGTCCTGCTGCATGATCCTAAAGGAGCCCAGTCTTTTTACCATGCCCTGTGAAACATCCCTCTGGTCCCCCATATTAATGAAGAAGTATTACTTTCACAGAATGCCTCATCATCTTGTAGGAGACAATAAGAAGGGTTTGGTGTTTTACCAAGAGACCTGATGTTAAAACCCACTTCACTGCATAAAAATCCCAGGACTGCCTGTCCTGCTGGGAGTGGTTTTGTGAAGCTGGGGCCTGACACAAATACTTGGGTCTCGCTTTTGGATATGCAAGGAATGCTTTATTCCAGCCCAGCTGGTAGCAAAGTTTACTGACAGGGTAATTTTAAAATGCTGCATATGAAGGTGACTAGAAAGGAGAGTCAAGCTTTCCAAGGGCTTCAGCTTCACAAGTAATTTGGTTTCCTGGTGTATTCCTGGCCCCAAGTCATCACCTAATTTTTCGCCTATCGCTAATGAACCTAAACTAATGTAGGTTGCTTTTGTAGTCAGTAAAATGACAGCCAGTCAGTCTGGGGTGTGAGATGTCTGTGAGGAGCCACAGAGATACCCAGCCAGGCTGAGACACCTACGCCACACACACACCTACCTGCCTGTGCTTGAGTCAGGGGCATCAGAACTCCAATGCCAGAAGAGGACAACACATCCATCAGGGAATGCTTGCAATGGGAAAGTGATGCACTGGCATTGATGAATACTTCCTACAAAAAGTGTTTATCAAACTGTTTGTTGAATAATTCTGTATTATCCCTTAAAAAAAAAAATCAAAATTGTTGTTTGAGATTTGGTGTCAGCTTGGGAAAGAGCCACTGATCTGCTTCAGAGTTTTTCTGGATGTGCTTGGACCCTAAACAGGCAGTGCTGGAGAAACTTGAAGCTGAGCTGCTGGAAGCCAACCAGAACCAGCAAACATTGAAGCAGAACTTCCTTGAGCTGACAGAGCTCAAACATCTGTTGAAGAAAACCCAGGATTTCTTCGAGGTGAGAGGCCTCTTTGCCCTTCCAACAGAGATGTAGAAAGTTCTTAAAAATACTTGCACTTTCATTTGGTGTATGTTGCTTTTAGAGGTCTTTATCACAAGCCATGATGAGGTTTGCAAAAACACCTTAGTCACTTTGGAGCCAGCATTGCTCTGTGAGACAGTGGGGCTCTAAAACTTAGCTCACAGATCTCTTTGAAAATAGCACTTATGCTTTTCCATTGCTAAGATATGGCTTATTTTCATTGGTTTTCCTTCGGTCTTATCTCCATGGAAATCTCCATGGAAAGCTACCTTTGGGGAAAAAGTTTTAAGAAAAAAAAGTGGAAATAGTTTTCAAACTGGCAATGCTGAATAGTGTTTTATAAAACTAATGTTTTCCAGGCAGAAACCAATCTGCCAGATGATTTCTTTATTGAAGACACATCTGGACTGCTGGAGCTGAGAAGCACTCCTGCTGCTGCAGCTGCCAAGCTGGGGTGTGTATTGGTGATGGCCTCCAGCTTGGCCAGACTTCCCACCTGCGCTGCACTGCTGTGACACTGGCACAGCTTCCTTCAGCTTCTTAGCAGAGGGTGCTCATCAGCCTCCTCTGCACAGCTGTTTCATGAAGATAAGAGAGTGACTGTCCTCAGAAACTATCATCAAATCTATGGTCAGGTTATGGGTCAGTGGGACAAATGGACTTCTGCTTCCAGGCCACCAGTTCCAGTGATCCCTTAGTAGGTATTGTCTGAAAATTGCTGTCTTAAGGCACCTCACCCATGACTTCTGGACTCAGGCATCTGGTCCTCATGGATGGATGTCTAACCACAGAAAAAGCCATGCTATTGCACTGGGCTGCAGTCTGATGCTTTCTCAGAAACGGAACACAGGAGAGTAAAGATAAACCAGCACTTCAAAATTTCTACCTTCTGCCTCTGCCATTCAGACACTCTCATTTTTGTGACTTTAGGCATCTCTCCATTCTTACATTTCTAGCCAGAATTTTCTCTTCACCTTCACCTGTTGATCTTGGAAAGTTTGTTGTTTTGTTGTTTTGTTTTTTTTTTTTTTTAAGAAAGAAACATAGATTAAAGTCAGTAGATTGAGATAAAAGCCAGGCTTGAGCAGGGAAGGTTTTCCTAGAAGTGCCTGCAGCAGAAGCATAGCCCTGGCTAGCACAGACTAGAAAACAAAGGCTTGTGAAATCATGTGTGCTACAGGTCCTAAAAGGCATGGAATGGGCTTGTAATTAATTTATCTTTAACTCTGCTCAGATTCACAGCAGGGGTAATAAAGAGGGAAAGGATGATCCCCTTTGAGCGTTTACTGTGGCGAGCCTGCAGGGGAAACATTTACCTGAGGTACACAGAAATGGACACCCCCATGGAGGACCCTGTGACAGTAGGTACCAACCTGGTTGTGTTTCCTCTGCCCTGTGTGGATGCTTACACAAAACTGGGGACCTGGCCCATGCTGCAGCATTGGCTGCCTCTCTCAGTGTGTCTAAGGGCGCCTGTAGGGCAAAGGTGGGACAGTTTGAGGATGAGAGAAGTTTCTCTGACATTGCTTTCCCCTTTTGCTACTGTTGAGGTGGTTTCCTTTTCCTGTCTGTCAAGATGCACATGAGGCCTCACAGGGCAGCTGTATTACAGGGACCACCATGGAAGTGAACTGTGGCTGTCCCCACCTGTATTTAGCCATGGAGGGTCAATTCCCCTTGGTGTCTCTGGGGTGAACCCTGTGCCCCAGTGGAACTCTGTCCCCTCTGCTCCACATTGCTCCTTCCCCCATAACCCAGAACTGCTGCCCATGCCTGTTTCCTGAAAGAGCACTGGGGAAAACACTGCTGATGGGAAACTGGGGATGGGGGATAAAACAACCAGTGGAGAGGCTGCAAAAAAAAAAGATACCAACTTTCCTGCACTGGACTCTGGGTGTGTTAAATACTGCTTGAATTGTGTGTTGCAGAGAGAAGAGGTGAAGAAGAATGTGTTCATTATCTTCTATCAAGGAGAGCAGCTTAAACAAAAAATCAAGAAGATTTGTGATGGGTAAGGCAGGCCTGTGGGCAAGCCACAATGACTCCTCTGGAGGTGGTTACTGGCAGTCCGGGCTGGCTGAATTTGGAGCTAGATATCAGATCTCCAGCTGTCAGCTCTGCAACCAACCTCCCTTCCCTCCTCAGCTCTGCTGCTCCTAATCATGAAAGACATCCATCACCTTAGCACTTGGAAATCAAGATCCTACATTTGCCAAAGTGGCATACAGCTCTTGAGAGCTGCTAGGTTTTTTACTTGGGATATCTAAAAGGGGACTGTTTAAAAAATACTCAGCACTCTTCTCCTGAAAGTTAGGGGCCCTAATTTGAGGACTGGAAACGCGTGGTAATCCTCAACTTGCTCTCAAGCCTTCCTGCATTTCTTCATAGAAAGATCATGCTGTAGTTTATTCAACCCTTTCCTAAGGCCTTTGAGCAATATCTGTGTAATCAGAGACAGAGCCCAGGAGAGAAATGAAAGCTTCATAAAACCTGACTTGTTTCCACCCTGTTAAGCATCTTGAAAAGATAATTCAGGTTGAATATTTTGTTACTCTTTCATAACACTGATGACCAATGAGCTTTGTTGCAGTGTAAATCAGATTTGATGAGAGGATCTGTCTGCTGTCACCAAACCCATTTCAGGTGTAGCTCCTCAGCCAGGCAAGGCCAGCCAAGAGCCTGCAGGGAGAGGCTGAGCAATTGCTCTTCCCTGACATCTGCACTCAGGGCAGGTCTTTCCTTATATCCTGCCTTTAATCAGAATAAAAGCAGGTAGATATTTCATCCAGCTGGCATGACTGACTTCAGTTCCAAGAAATGACAGAGCCCTGCGGTCTGTTAGCAATTCCTGCATTGAAAACGGGGCCCTCCAAGGTACCTTTTAGGAGCAGTGGAGGGCAATGCCCATCCAGAGGGAAATTCATCCCTCCTGAGGTGGGCATTTGTCTATGAAGCAGTCATAGACATGAGGGAAGACTCCCAGCTCTCAGCCACTGACTTCTGATCCTGAAGCTGAGACAAACAAGTTCTGCCATAGCCATTGTGCAGGATCAGTCTGCTGCTGCCAGTGGTCTTCGAGTTTTCAGCAAGCCTCGTTCTCTTTCTGGATTTCAATTTCCTGCATGTGATAGAATCATAGAACAATTTGAGTTTGAAGGAATTTCAAAGGTAATTTCATTTCAACTCCCCTGCCATAGGCAGGGACACCTTCCAGTAGACCAGGTTGCCCAAAGCCACATCCAGCCTGTCCTTGAACATTGCCAAGGATGGGGCATCCCCAACTTTTCTGTGGCACCCTGTGCCAGTGCCTCACCACCCTCACAGTAAAGAACTTCTTCCTAATATTCAACCTAAACCTACTCTCTGCTTAAAGCCATTCCCCATCTGTCCTGTCACTACATGCCCTTGTAAAAGGTCCCTCTCCAGATTTCTTGTAGGCCTCTTTAGGTACTGGAAGGCTGTGGTAAGGCCTCCCTGGAGCCTTTCCTTCTTCAGACTGAACAATCCCAATTTTCTCAACCTTTCCTCATAGCAGAGGTGCTTCATGCATTTGAGCATCTTCCTGGCCCTCCTTTGGACTTGCTTCATCAAGCCCACATCCCTCTTATGTCTCATTTCTTTGCCTGCTTTTTAAATGCTGTTCAGACCCCTTCTTCCCTTCTGCATGGGCAGTTGCTGGTGGGGAATGCTTCCCTTTGGATTTTCCCCTTTGCCGATGGCCTTGCAAGTCACCAGGTCATAATTTAGAACTGGAGGGTGTTGCCCGTAGAGTGCTGAAAGTTCTTCATTTTGGATGTCTTTTTTTCTCCCCTGCAGCATTAAAAATTCCCTGCAGTCAAAAGCCAAATACTTTTTCCTAGGATGGGAGTGAAAGAACAAGCAACGCAATGCCTGTCAACATATTTGTTGTTGATTGACACCAGAATCCCCCAAACCATAGGCACAATCTTCTGCAGCTAGGGATCAGGCAGTACTGAAAATGTGAGCAGATCCCTACAGGGAAGTTGTGGTGTGCAGAGTTTCTAGGAGCTAGTGTTGCAGATGTATGTGGTGGTAGGTTTGCAGGAAGGAACTTAGACTGGTTCCTATCAAGCCCTTGTAACTGAAGGAAAATACACCTACCAAAGACAAATCCACAGAACACTCTCTGCAGTGCTAATGAAGTCATCTTTTTTGTTCCTTCTTCCTTTCAAATTTTTGGTTGCTAATATCCCCATCTATACGGATATTCTCCTATGTGGCAGATTTCTAAATGTATTAGTCCTCTGACCCTCCTTTTGTGCTCTGTGGGCCATCAGCCATCCCTGGTACCCAGGCCAGGACATCTTAGTCTGGTCCACCTTTAAGGCAGGGATGACTATACCTAAAGCAGATGGCAGTGTCATTCCAGCCCCAGCAGGATATTTCTGCTTAGCACTAAGTCATCATTCATGACAAGCAAATATCCTGCAAAAATCATGGGACTGGTCTAAGCCAGCCTCCTGCAAGGCAGGCTAAGATTTGTTTGCAGAGCTGTGTGCCTCAGGTTACGCTTGTAGTCCCTGCTTGACTCTAATTGGTAACATTAGTCTGCCAATTTCATGAGCATTAAGCCCATGCACAAATTTATTAGTGAAAGGTGTAGAGGGAGCAGAAAGGAGGAAAATGTAAGATTTTTTCTTTTCCTCCTTTTCTTGCGGCTGCCTCAGTACTAATGTGAATACTAAGCTGAGTTTATCAATGTAAGGATTCCCTGCTGAATTCTCCTGGAGCTTTCAGAGATGTCTGTGCCATTAGGGCAAAGCTGATACTCAGTATGCAAAATGGCTGTTAAAAGATCAAAGCAGCACTGCTGCAATAACGTTATTGGGAATGGGGGAACTGTACAGCATGGAGGAATAAGCTTTCAAGTTTGATTAAAAATCCTTATTATAGATGAACTAAGAGCTGTGAAGAATAAGAAGATGGAAATAATTAGGCAGGGTGAATAACCTTTGGAAATGAATACCAGGTGTTGAGTGAGGAGAAATTAAATTCTGGAAAGGGAAGTTTAGCTGAAGAGCACGTGCTGTCATTACACACAGCTCTGGGCTGATCTCTAGGAAACTGCAGCATGTTTTGTTCAATTTGCAACTGTACTCACTTGTATGTGTGCTGGAACTGATTTTGTAGAGCAGGTGGTGAAATATCCTGCTCTCATACAAAGCCAGAGTATGATGCTTATCTGTACACAGAGCCTGTACATTTTTGTCTCTTAAGCAGGGATAGACCCCTATGACCCTGTTACATCTTTTAATTCATCTCACTTGCAGAAAGACAGCCCTTCAGCAACCCTTACTCAGCATATCCACAGCAGGATGGTGGAAATGTGTTGCCTTAGGTCAGGGGCAGGAGATCTCTGCTCTGCAAAGAGGAAGGATCTCTTCCTGCAGATCTGATGGGCAGTATCAAAGTGGCAGGGGTGGCACATGCACTAGATATCCCTGAACAAGCCAAACAGGAAAAAAAAAAGGATATCTGCTATTTTAGTTACTGCAGCACCTCATCTCAGCTCAGGCTTGCGGGCAGAGAGCAGCAGCAGCAGTGCACCCTGTGACCTGTAAGGTCCCAGGGGGAACCCCTTGTGCCTGCTCTTCTGCATGAAGAGTACTCTGAGACTTGCTTTGCAGGCAGGACAGGTAGCTGCACACTTCTCAGAGAGACATGCAACTAATTTCTAATTGTCTGTGCTGGGATCATAGAATGTCCAACACTGCAGTGTGCTGCACTGGGGGAAGCTCCTTTACACCAGAGTGACCTGCAGCTGCACTAGAGAAGGTCGAGTTCCATGCTATAGCTGAAACAGTACCTGTGTAGAGCTGAGACCTTCACTCACATTAGAATTCCACATTAGTCATGTTAGAATCCCATATTAGTCCTTCTTATACCACACTAAACAAACCCACTGAATCTTCCAAACAGAACCTTGGGGGTAAGCTTATAAAAGCTTTCATGCTGGTTATCTAAGTATGATATAACAGACACTGCTCTCAGGTGTTTAAAACCCTTCACCCATCTTTCCCTTGCTCCCAAGGTGTCTAGCCAAACAGGTGGACCAGAAGCATACAGCCATTCTCCTATTTTATCCTGAAAATACCATCCTTTTGTTTGTTTGCTTCCTTGCTTGTCTGTTTTTACGGGGTTATTTACTTTATGCAGCCTGCCCGCACAAAGGGCGTTTGCTTGCAGTGCAGCAGTAGCTCAGCTGATGCCTTCTCCCAGTGCCTGCAGGAGGGTAGTGCAGAGACAGGGATATTGTATTTTTCCAACCTTGGTGCAACAGGGACATCTGTTGGCAACTGCGTTAGCGAGGCTGCCTTTGCCAGGACGGGTTTTTCTTGAGTCTCAATTCAAGCAGCTTGTGGATGGAAGGGAGGCGTCTACATGTTAGTGCTGACCTCTGTGTGACATCAGGTCCTTGTATCACCTAAAACAAGGAGGGTTTTTCAGCTAGAGCAGGCAAAGGGATCCTTATTTTCATCAAGGGATAAAGGCACCTGTTTGCACCTTTCTGTGAGACCAGGTGCAACTTTGTGTTATGTGAGAAGAGTATACTGCTGGGTCAGGAATGAAGTCCAGCTTCCCTACCTTTGAGCTGAGAGGAGCTACAGAGGAAGAAAACTCAGTCGGATTTTATATAAAATTTAAATAAAATAATGGGTTATTCTCAACTCTCTCTTACTGAGGCTAGATTTCGTGCCACAGTCTATCCTTGTCCAGAGTCTGCCACCGAGCGCCGAGAAATGCTTGATGGAGTCAACACAAGAATTGAGGATTTAAACACAGTAAGTGGCAGTGGCTTTACTGATGACTGAACCCTACAAGTTGGACCTGCCCTGGTATTTGTCCTGTCTAAAACCACGTTGCAGACCACACAGGTTGTCTTCCCAACCGTATCTCATTACCTCCATATTCACTTAGGCAGCAGCACTGTGGTGGCCACATGATGCATGGAGGTCCCAAGACCATGAACTGTAGTTCTACTCACGGGTGTGATATTCCCCAGGTTTGTGGCACAGAGCTGCCTGCAGGAGATGCCAGCTTGGGAGCACGTGGTGAGATGTGGCCAGTCTGTAAGCAGCTGGGTAGGGAGCCAGTCCCACAGCTAAGTAACTCCCAGTGGTCTCCTCTACACTTACAGTGACTCAGGACCGTGCAGGGAGAGTTCTTGGTGAGCAGTACTGTGCACCTGATGTTGAGTGATCCTGTGTCCACACCTCCAGATGCTGCTCTCCAGGATACCCCACACATTCATGGAAATAGTTCCTTTCCATCCACCCTCTTCCAGCTGCCCTCTCCAATTAACTGAGTAGCTCATGCCCCCGTGCTTCCCTATCTTGAGTGTTGCCCTGTGTTGTGCTTACAGGTGATAACACAAACCGAGTCCCACCGCCAACGACTGCTGCATGAGGCAGCAGCCAACTTGTGGTCCTGGGGGATCAAGGTGAAGAAAATCAAGGCCATCTACCACATTCTGAATTGCTGTAACATCGACGTCACCCAGCAGTGTGTCATTGCAGAGATCTGGTTCCCAGTGGCTGATGCTGACCGGATAAAAAGAGCTCTCCATCAAGGAATGGTAAGAGAACAACAGTTTGGGTCCTTGAAACTCTCACCTGCACTGAATTGTTTGTATGTTGAGCATATGTTCAGACAGGTCTGTTACTCTAATGTGGGGCTCCCTTTTCTAAGTTGTGGTTGTCCCATTGTCATTTGACCTTTCATCTTTTGACAGAGCTTAAGGTCAGCATTAAATGTTAGCAGGATTGTAACAGACCCTTGAGCCAGAAGTGGTGTTGTGGGGCTAATTCTCTCCACTCTCTGTCTGTCCTTGTCACTGGGTTTGCAGGAACGTAGTGGCTCCACGATTGCCCCCATCCTCACTGCCGTACACACCAAGATGGCACCACCCACCTTCAACAGGACCAACAAGTTCACAGCTGGATTTCAGAACATCGTGGATGCATATGGTGTGGGCAACTACAGGGAGATGAACCCAGGTGAGAAATACTCAGCTACATACATCTGGTTTGCATGAGCCAAAGTAAAGTCTTTGAGCTCTCTCACTATCCTAAAAAATGTACTCATTGCTGATTGAGAAATCTGAACGATTTTGGAACTGTTTGGTGTATAGGCATGGATTTTCTCAGGCAAAGAATTTGGCTGTTGGTCTTCAGTGGATGATTGTGATGGAAATAAGGAACTATACAAATACAGGATGGAGAAGAAATGGTGAGGTAGCTGTTCTGAGGAAAAGAACTATACTCATAAGGGAAATGTAAGTTGAGCTCACTGTGTTGAGGCAAAGAAGGCCAAAAGGACCTGACAAAAGTTTGAAACAATGGTAGAGAATTTCAGACCACTGAGAATTAATAGAAACCTAGAAATGGGGGCCCATGTGAAAGGGTGAGATTAACTCAGATTGTTGAGGCTGAGCAGGTTGAGAAACTTGATAGTAACCTTCAAATGCATTTTTGTGTTGCAAAACAGAATGTAGTTGTCTACACATGGTGTTTGTTATGATGAGGTAAGAAGCAAAGGATAAAACCGCAAGGAAGGTACAGGTCATACAACTGAACATTCTTTGTAAAGCTAGTTCTGCGCTCGATCTGACTGCCTGGTGTGTAGGGGAGGAATTGAGGAGGCCTTTTAGGGCAGTACCTGTAAGGAATGGCCTGCTTCTTTGATGAGGCCTTTTTGTTTAGAGAGAGCTGAGCTTCTTGACCTCTCTCTCCTGCAGCTCCCTACACTATCATTACTTTCCCCTTCTTGTTTGCGGTGATGTTTGGGGACTGTGGCCACGGCGCTGTCATGCTGGGCTTCGCACTCTGGATGGTCATTAATGAGAAGAGTCTTCTGGCCCAGAAAAGCACTAATGAGGTGAGTACCAGGGGTGCACCCTATCAGCACAGGGAAAGGCTCATCGGCCCCATTGGATAAAGGGGACACCCAGCCTCCCAAGGGCTGTCTGGAGATGGTTCAAAGATACCTGTGAGGCAGAGGTTTGTCAGCTCTACCTGTTCATACACAGAGGGCCTAAGGGACCCAAAATTTTCTATGAATAATTGTATATACACAGACTAGTGCAATCATGTCTACTGTTGGTTGAGGCCCACAAACTGATGGACCTGCAGGTACTTTGGTCACTGGCACTGCCTTCTCCTCCTGCAGATCTGGAACACCTTTTTCAGCGGGCGCTACCTGATCCTGCTCATGGGCATATTCTCCATGTACACTGGCTTCATCTACAATGACTGCTTCTCCAAATCATTCAACTTCTTTGGTTCTTCCTGGCATATCATCCCCATGTTTAAAAATAACACTTGGAAGTAAGTGCTAAATGTAGGAAGGAAGTAAAAACACACCAAATGGAGCATGTAGGCTTAGAAAGAGAAACTGCCTGTGTGGGGAAGGGAAAGACTCCCTGCTGTGGATGCAGCCATGAATGAATCAGAGGTTTTGTCTGACACACACAGATGAACTCACTATTGAAATGGAAATGTAGAGTCCTCGGGAACACGGCTGTTTTTTCAGGCACTGATGTGCATAAAAATCTGCAGGTGTCCAGGACTGATGCATAGAGAATTATCAGTGTGAGGGAGGCTGCCATTATGTGGGGCCCATTTACATGCACACAAGTGCAGGATAACAGGTCCCAGAAAGGCTGGAGTCAGCTACAGATATCCTGTGGTAGTCCTCAGCACACCTCACATAAATATACTGTGGGCTTCGATGGAGAGATTAAGCTGCAAAGGTCATTTCCCTTTTCTCTTGTAGTAAGGATGTGCTTCTAGACAATGCAGTGCTGCAGTTGGATCCAGCAGTCCCAGGAGTCTACTCTGGAAATCCATATCCATTTGGAATAGATCCGGTAATTAAATTAAATTGCTCTAAGATAATTTGTATTTCAGTCCTGTTTCTGCATATCAGGTGCATCAGTAGCACCCTGCACTCTCTCCTGAAGCTGTGCTTTTCAGTTCTTGCTCTTTGTTCCTTACACAGCTGTTGTGGTTTAACCCCAGCCAGCAGCCAAGCCCCATACAGCCCCTCGCTCACTTCCCCACCAGTGGGATCAGGGAGAGAATTGGAAGGGTGAGAGCTGGAAAACTCGTGGGTGGAGATATAGACAGTTTAACAGGGAAAGCAAAAGCTGTGCACACAAGTAAAGAATTAAGTAATCTCTTCCCTTTAGGGCAGAGATTACTTAAGGCAGGAGTTGAGCCATCTCCAGGAGAGCAGGGCCCCACCACATGTGATGGGACTTGCAAGGACAAACACCATCACTCCAAACATCCCCCCTTCCTCCCTCTTCCCTCCACTTTATACACTGAGCATGATGTCATATGGTCTGGAATATTCCTTTGGTAATTTTGGGTCACCTACTCTGGCTCTGTCTCCTCCCAGCCTCCCGTGCACCCCTCCAGTTCCTCACTATCCTCATGAAAAGCAGCAAAGACCTTGGTTCTGTGTAAACCCTGCTCAGCAATAACAAAAATATCTCCATACTATCTACCCTCTGTTTACAAATACAAAATACACTCCCATACCAGCCACTGTGAAGAAAAATATCTTTTACCCAGGCAAAATCAGCCCATTCCACACCTTATTCCATACTATTTACATCATGCTCAGGCACTACACTGTTCAATACAACTTCATTAACCACCACTCACCCCCACCATTCATCAGTCCTTCTGATGCTATCCTTTAGCAATTTGCAATTGATGTATTGCTAACAACTCTGCACAGGCAGCAGCAAAACAGTAAGCAGAAAGGAAGTTTGATTTTGCTGGAGAGTGGTCTTGTGCTACAGTTTCTTTTCTACCACGCATCTGCTGAACTCTGTTTCTTTACTTGAGTATTTAACCCATTCCAAAGATAGCTCACCAGTTTGAAGGCTAACTTCCAAATTTCATGCAATCTATTTGTTGCATGGAATGTGAAATAAATGGCAGTATTATTTAACTTAGCCACATTTTCTTCTCTGTGTTCTATTTGCCTTTTTCTTGTTGTTCTGTCTTTATCATGTATCAAAATGCACTTTTTAACATCAGACTTTCCTGTTTCAGTCTCCATATTAGTCAAATAACTCCCATCCCTGCTGGTTGCACTCTCATTTCAATTGGTCACCCAAAGGAACTCTGTCCTCCCCTGGGTCTCAGAGACATTGACCTTGCAGTCAGTTTTTTGTAAACTCAGCTCTAAAGCTCTGCCCAGGATGTGGGCAGTCTGGTACAGAAAATTACCTCAGAAGCAGTTGAGTTTTCTGCACGTTGCCCTAATTCAGGTTGACCTAGCCTACCTCTTCCAACCTGGCTTCTCCCTGTTCAAGAGTGTAAAAGTCCTGGCTGGGAGGGAAGAACGGCAGAACAAGTGCTGGCAGGGAAGGGGTGAACGGGAAGCACCAGCCCCTGCGTGGCCCTCTCTGAGGAGATTATCTCTGTCATGTGCCCTGAAGGATGGATCACTCTACATTTTGCAAATCCTGCTGAGATGACTGAGGTCTGTCTTGGAAAAAAATTCACACTGAGATGAAGAAGCTAAGCAGTCTCTTTGGTATCTAGAGAAGGGGCAAAGCAAATCAAACAAACACGTAAAAGCTAATGTTTCACCCTCCAAAAAATCCTATCTTCCTTCTTTCTCTTCAGGTGCTATACTTAGTGTCTGAAAAGTGGTGTCTACTTACTGTCTCTGAGGACAGAAGACTTTGGGGTCTAGGAAGTTTGAGAAGAAAGGAGAAGCAGCCCTGAAGCTCTGTAGCATAAAAAAGGCAGGACTGAGAAGGGATGTATGTCCTAACATAACTAAAAAGCTACTGCAGAGAGGCAGGCAATAAGCTGATCTCCATGGCCAAAGAGTTAAAGAGAGTTTTTTCAGTTCAAAAAAAAGTTTGAAAATGCTCTGTCCTCAGTGCTTCTCTGGTGAGGGTGGAACTAATTTTGGTTGCAGCAGGAGGGATTTTCTCATGCCTTTCCACTTTTGCTAAAGATGATGACTCAGCCTAAGGACAGGAAATGACAGAAAATATCTAGGTTCTGCTACCATCCTTTGCAGTGGTTTCTGGAGGACTGAGGCAAAGTCGTAGGATCATTTTAAATCCTTGTTATTTCCTTTGTTAAACAAGTTTAATACTTTATACATTTTAGATTAATACCTTGGCAGAGTTAAAAGTAATAAAAAGAACATCTAGATTTCTGTGCATTGCTACCCTCTTACTAGAGCTGGTAGGAGTAAATTGATGGTGCCAAAGCAACAACTTTCACAAACCTTTTATTGATCAAACACCTGAAAATCTTATTCTTCTCTCTCTCTCCCTGTTCCTTTAAGCAAAGATCTGGAATGTTGCATCGAACAAACTGACTTTCCTGAACTCCTACAAAATGAAGATGTCGGTTGTCATAGGGATTGTGCACATGATTTTTGGGGTGATACTCAGTCTCTTCAACCACATGTAAGTTCATTTCAGCAAGCCTGTTGCTGCAGCAGCACACAAGTCCTCATCATTAAACTGGTGTCCTTCATTAAGAGAAAGTCATATTTTGGAGAGATGATTTGAACTTTGACCTTTTCCTGGTGTGAGTAGAAATGTCCCATACACTGGCTCACTCACACAATGGTTGATATGCAGTGCTAAGTCCAAAGGAAGCCATAACATTGCAGGTATTTTCTTCAATAAAATCTATTTTTAACTTACTTTCTTATAGTCTCAGTTCTGCAGAAATACTGAAGCACACTAAATTAAAAAGATGTAGCACCTCCCACTATTGACAACTTTTCTCCTGAAGGACAAGCTCTTTTGGCCTAAACCAAAACACACTGAAATCTTGCAGAGCATGTGCATTTTGCCTATCTTTGCAGCTCTTGGTCAGGATTTGTGGGTGCACTTGTCTATATCTCTGCCTTTATGTTTTGCAACAACAAATAAAAAATGGTGATAGAGTATGGGGGCTGACACTATTGTGTTGAGAGACTCTCCAAAGCTGCAATGAGTGTAGTGACCTTCAAGGACAGAAAGGACCCTGCAGGATTGATACTACACCTGGTTCTGACCTTTCTTGGCATATAATACTCAACTTTGTGAATAAGAAAATTTTTTTTAATTGTCTTTTATTTTGGTGTAATAATCTTTTGAGTTGCTGAGATACTGGTAGGTCAAGTACAAAAACCTGAAGATAATCAGTATAACAGAGATTTTCTATTTAAACAATGGATTTCACTGATAAAGCCTGTAATTATGGACTTCTTTCTTGGCTAGTGATAGTTGTAAATTTGTTAGGTTATTTTCCAAAAACTAAGTACTGCCAGACTTGGGTGCAAACTTGTATTAGTATCTAGTGTATTAACTCTAGTTTTCTTTCCTGATTATTTCCAGCTACTTCAGAAAATACATAAACATTATCCTTCAGTTCATTCCAGAGATGATTTTTATTATCTCTCTTTTTGGCTACCTGGTCTTCATGATTATTTTCAAATGGTGTCATTTTGATGTCCATTCATCCCAGAGTGCACCAAGCATCCTCATCCACTTTATCAACATGTTTCTGTTCAACTATGGTGACACTTCCAATGCTCCATTGTATCTGCATCAGGTATGGATCAAGCAGCCTGAATCCACTGTAGTTTTGTATTTGCAGTGGGTGTTGTGGAGGGTGGGCATAAAGATACAGGCTCAGAAGCTCAATCACAAGTGTCAGTCACAAAAGTAAAGTTTATTCTTCTGGTATTTGTGTTGGTCTTGTCAACAGAGAGGGGAAAGCAGCTATCAATCAGTGATGCAGAGGAAATCTCTTTCATTCTGACAATCTCTTGTCATTCTGACAAGAATAATGATGCAGTGGAAGATACTATGGGGGGAAAAAAATCAAAGTGTGACTAAAGATACAAAGCTGCGTATTGCAGGCATGCTGTCCTGCAGTCTGGTCACAATGCTAGAGACATCTTCCTTTCTTCCTATAAGATAAGTTCCTAATTCATCTTTGGAAAGCTTTAATACTTGACATTTTCACCTAAAGAAGTAGAAGTAACTAGAGGATTTTCTGGCAGCTTTTTGTCAGAAATAACTCCTCTTGGGAGTTCACTAAAAAAAAAAAGGCAAGCAAAAAAATCTCCTAGGAGAAAACTTGTTTTAAAGTCATCTCTATTTATATTCTCAGAACATGGAATTTTTTTCTTTGATTGATTTTACATCAGCAGCATCAATGAATAATCTGCAAGCAAGTGCTGCATCCAACCCTGTGTGTGCAGCCACATCTACAGTTGCACACTGGGCACTTCAACATAAGCTCAATTTTAGGGACAGCTGTTAAGTCAGTATTAGTAGAGAGCCCTGATCAGCTCCAAGGAACTGTGTTAAGGATTCAGGGGTTTTTGGAAAAACACAGTCTTCCCAGACTTTAAAAAGTCTTTAGATAACATTGTGCTTTGTAACAACCCAAAGCTGTCCCAAGGTGGCAATTTTTTTGTTATATTCCTGTCCCCCTGTCCCACCAGGAACAGAATGTGACATCTTCCTGGGTAGTCTGAATGAAAATATTGTATGAGCCCAATCATAAGGTGATCAGACATCTGAGCCAGCTTTTAAGAAGTGCAGAAGTTGTGGTTTAAGGTTTTCTTTGTTTGTTTTGATGTTGCTGTTTTCTGAAAGTACCAACAGTTTTGTTGGACAGCAACAGGGATGCCATACTGCAATGTAAGAACACATTATATTGTGGGGACAACCTGTTACCAAACCCAAGCTATGGGGATTCAATTCTTTCTGGAATTGCAGATGTGGAGTAAATCCAGGGCAAGACTTGAATGACTTGGTTCTTACTGCAGCCTTTCTACACTGATCAAAGCAAGGCAGCCTGACTGACTCACACAGTTAGAACATTCACTTGGGACACTTAGTAGCCAGGTTCAAGTCAATAGCATGAGATTTTGGTAAATTAACCGTTTTCAGTATGAAAACGTTTCATCTCCAGGTCTCCAACCATCTCTAGCTAAATGTGCTTTCTGGAGCCTTAAGCACTATACATTTATTTTCTTATTCTCGCAAGCAGAAGATACACAGTCAAATACAACAAATAAAACAGGGAGTTGAGTTGTATTTGTTGTATTAAAAAAAATTACCATTATATAGACTCAGGTTTCTAACCATATATGTAGTTGGCTAAATGAAGTAAAGCAACTTTTTAATTTTTGCTCTTGCTGTTTTGTCTTTTAGAAAGAAGTGCAGAGTTTCTTAGTCATATTTGCTCTGATTGCTGTTCCCTGGATGCTCCTAATTAAACCTTTCATCCTCCGAGCCAACCACCAGAAAGCACAGCACATGGTAAGGGATGTGGATCAGCTGGGGAGGATTCAGTACTGCAAAGACGAAGCTGGGGAGACAGACCCCAAAAAGTCTTTGCAGTGATGTAATTTTACATTTCTCTGACCTCAGGCTTTCTCTGACAGTTTCAAAGTGTGCTTTACGCAGCATATGCCCAGGACTTCTGTATGGACATGTCAAACCATCTAAAGTAGAATCAGAGAATGGCTAAATTTGAAAGGGATCACTGGAGTTCATCTGGTCCAAACTCCCAGCTGAAACAGGGTTCCCTAGGGTTCATTACTTACATTTGTGTCCAGACAGCTTTTAAATATCTCCTGTGAAGGAAATATTTCCCTGGAAGCAGGAGCTTTGCTGGAAAGGACATACCCTACTTGTTAAGCTGACACCAAACTCTTTCACCTGTTGTATCCAAAACCAAAGAAGATTCAGAAAGATTGAAGTGCTGGTAAAGGAAAGACCGGGAAAATGCCTCAGTAGGCAGTCCACAATCTCCACTAACCATCAGTTTGCTCTCTGTAGAAATGGGGCATCTGTAAAAGTCCTGGCTATGGAGAGAGCAATAGTGCTTGAAGGAGAGGTTTGATTTAAAAGCTGTTGCCTGCTTTTTGGTAGTTCTTTCTTCCTTAAGTGATTGCCTTCACATTAACAGAGCCCTCCTTCCCATGGGCTCTGTGGTTTGCCCACAGCTTCTCAACACACAGCTGCGGCAGCTGCAGTTTCCCAGCTGATCATTAATTATCTCCATTACCGCACTAACAGGACTTTACTTGTCAGTCAAGATTTACTTCTCTTTATAGTCAGTTAGTGGCTGGAGTACCATTTATAGGGCACAGATGTTTCCATTTGAAGAAAGAGAAGCTGGTTTTGCTGCTTGACCTTTTCCAACCCAGTCACTTCTGACCTATAATTGAAAGCGAGGTCCCTGGGAGACCTTTTCAGCCCTGTCTCTGCACTGTAATTTCTTATTTTGTCATTCTTCTGGGATTTGGATGAAGGCTTGACATGGCTGACTCCATCTCCTGCTTTTATGCCAGGAACATCTGACAGGTTTTACCCACCTCCTATTGTGCCCCCATATTTCTATTCCTAATTTTCATATGTTAGCTGTCTGATCACATCCTACATTCCCCTAGATTTATATGTTTGCAGCAAAGTCTGTTTTCTATGCTGACATTCAGGTAAAGCAAAGATAAAGTGGGTGTGACAATCATTACTGCTGCACTAGGAAACAATATATTGTCAGGAGACCTTTCCCATGAAACCTGCTGGAGGCTATAAAGGGTGATAAGGCAGAACCTGACAGAAGCCATGAGGTCTCTGCTTGGTTAAGCTGTATAATAGGACTATTAGAACGGGTTGTTCAGGCCTCTAGAAAAGTCCTGTAAATAATAATTGTAGAGAAGTTGACACAAGGTTTTTGCCAATTTAAAGTGAATCAAGAGCTTTTAATTTTATTTCTGCCTGTATCCAAGAACCGTGTGACCTTCATTGAGTCATATGGTCCTCTCAGGCTTTGTTGGCCTTTCACTTGACACTAATTCCTTTGATTTGTACCCATCTAATTGGGATCATCAGCTTTAAAAGTACCTTAGTTTTCTCATTTGCTGAAAGTGATGGGTCTTCTCATGGTGGGATCAAAGAGTACATCGTGACACTAGAAACTAGATACAATATAGTTGGAATCACTGGAAAATGCTCTAGGATGGAAAACATTTAGGCATTATTAGCGATTTGGTGGGAATATTCAATTTCTATTGCCCTTGATGACTGTTGTTGAAACTGTCTTCGTGTTCATGATATAATCCTTCATGTGCTACCCATCATGAGGTTATTGAGGGAGTTCTGTGCATGGACTTCTTCATTTTGGTATCAACCAAACATACTGCATTTTGTTTCTGAAAGATCCATTCTCAAGCCATCTCAGGAAACTCAGGAGGTGAAAATGAGGTAGATGTCCCAGAGACCAATCACTCCAAGAAAGCTTCCCAGGGAAACCACAGCGGTGGCCATGAAGGACACGAGGGTGACGATGGAGAGGTAAGAAAATTTGGACAGAAAATTGTAGTAGTAGCAGAAGACACAAAGTCAAGCAGAAGACTTTTGCAGAGTTGCCAGCCCTTCTTTCTAACAAGATATCAACACATACTGTTGTAACAGTTTGTGTTTTCAAATAGAATAGGGTTTGAACTTTCATTGAATTAATTTCTCTGAATTTTTCCTTTGGTTTTGCCTGGTGGTGACATGCATTCTTACAAACCTCAAGCTTTTACAAACCTCAAGTTTTGTTTCCTCAGGGGTGGTTGTTCACTTCCACATTGCACCCAGAGAAGGTCAACTCTTTCCCAAGAGTCAGTGAGCTTTCCTTCCTCTAAATTGCAAAGAAGCATTTAAAGTTGGCAGCCAGAATTTTTGACTAGGGAGAGAATCCTTCCTTTGGCAGATATTGTCAAGAGCTTCTACAGTAGGAAGCAACATAGGAAAAAGTGACAAAAATATTTGTAGCAGTTGGGAGTATCAACAATATTGAGTGTGGATATGGCTTGCTGTTCCCAGTCACAGGGAATCTTCACAGATTTGCTTATTCATTATTATGAGATACAGTTATTCAGTGATATCTCCCAAAATGTGTATGCCCATAGGCAAAAAGCCCCTATTTTACATAAGAATTCCTCTCTGTATAAGAAATCGCAGAGATTGGCAGCAACTGGATTGACATTTAAGGGTTTGAAATCGTAAGAGTGGAATGTGAGCTGTTCCCCAAACATTTCGTTTTCACTGGAATTGTATTTTTCCAGCGAGAATGTATAGAAAGATCATACAGAACTGACACTTTTCAGAGCAGTCTCTTTTCCTGGGAAATACCTTTGTGTTGCTCAGGACATAGCAAGGAAAAGAGTAAGAAGAACCTTTGGTGGAGTGTTGCTCTGCTAACCAGAAAGCCCTGAAGTAAGAACTAATAAAACTTTTTTGGTTTTATATGTTGTTTCAGTTCAATTTTGGAGATGTATTTGTCCACCAAGCTATCCACACCATTGAATACTGCCTTGGCTGCATCTCCAACACAGCCTCTTACCTGCGACTCTGGGCGCTGAGCTTGGCCCATGCACGTGAGTGATTGTCCCCCTTTAGTCTCCTCACCATGCTGGTGTTTGACTATTCCTGCAAATTTCTTCATGAAATCCAAGTTTCTCCTTGTAGACATTTATGTGTCAGGATGTTTTGCTTCTGGTTAGATCACTCCAAGTGTTTCGTGGCAGGCATCTCAGTTTTCAGAGGTGATCCCTGGCAGCTCTGACTACATTCTCTGGCTGGGGCCCATTTCCTGCCCTGCTCTTTAGCCACCCCTCTGGAACAGTCCTCATGGTGTCTGGCATGGTGGGAGGTGCAGTCCACTTGTGTAGTCCAGTCCATGGAGGTGAAGGCAGTATGGGAGCCATAGCTGCTTTTACCAAGAAGCACTTGCTGTACCCTTAGGGTATGCAGATGAATGACAAAATTACTTGAAACAGTAATTTTGATTCTGTTCAGCAAACAAGAAAGAAAAGGTCTGGCTCAAGAGCTTCTGGAATTTGTCATTTTCACTGGGATTTTTCCCAGAAACATTCAGTGGAACATTACATTCCATGAGAAATGTACAGCATTTCAGTGTCTTTTGTCTTGATTTGTGATAAAAACAGATGCTCAAATACTAGAAATTGCCTCAGGCAAGAACTTAGATTTTCAATGTTTCTAATTTTTCTAAAATGCTTTTTATTAATATTGCTGTAATGCCTCTGGCTAGGAGTTGCACCTGTCCTAAAGAATTATGCACACAAAAAACGGAAAACAGAAAGGGGTAGGGGGCAAGGAGGGGGGGCTGTGGTGTGGCATGCCATGGGTTGACAGGGGTGAGCTGTACTTCTTGGCACAGAAATGAGCTTAGTAAGAGTGCAGTGGAAGCTGATACACATTAACTTTACATGGAGAACAGATACCCAAATAAAATACAGCAACTAAAAAGCTTAGCTAAGGGCATACATATTCTACAAACCGGGAAAAATGGGTGAGCTGGCAGACTGCATGCTGCATCTGTCCATAGCTGCTGCTCAGCACTGTTTTCCTTTTATTTCCTTCTGCAGAGCTGTCAGAGGTCCTTTGGACCATGGTGATGCACAACGGGCTCAGCAGCAGCGGCTGGGCAGGCCTCATCGCCATCTTCATCATCTTCGCGGCATTTGTGGTGCTGACGGTAGCCATCCTGCTGGTCATGGAGGGGCTCTCGGCCTTCCTGCACGCCTTGCGTCTGCACTGGTACGAGGAATGGCCCTCTGGAGCTTTTCCCAGATCAGTCTTTGGGAGGGAACAGGCTGTGGGAACAGCTGGGCACAGTGTTAGACATGCTGTGCCAGTGCTTTGGACCATTAGTTGCCTTTGGCAAATGAATTCAGGGACTCTTCCAAAGGGAACTCAGAGATCCCTGCTCTGACCTGTTTCCCAGAGCAACCTGCTTGTCCTCCTGCACCTGTGGTGGTTGTCAGCATGTGAGGCAAATGGCAACCTGCAGTTCTGTCCTGGTAAACATGCAGAGCCACTGAGGCCTCTTTGAGCTGCACGACAAGGCCCGAAGGCAGCACAGCCACACCACTGGCTCTGTATCCCACCCAGGGATCTAACATGACTGCTTACAAGGGCAGCAGGAGTTCAGCTGGGAGTGCAAAACCTGATAAAAACCTGGGTCCGTGCTTGTGTCATCAGCCCAAGTTGAGCTTCAGGCTGCTTAGGCTTTGTGGCAAACCAGCTCCAAGTTAGCCCATGTTGGCCTTAACTGATCACCAGTGCAGGCAAGGACAGCGGTGTGGACCCACCGTCAGCATGTGAGCAAGACCAAGGTGACCAAACACCCTTCACCACGTCCATAACTCGGCATCCTACCCGAGCCCCAAGCTATGGCCTTTTTCACCAAGTAATGTCCTAACACAAATCATAAACACTGCCAAACCATGGTGCAGGTTCTTGTCATTGTGCAGGGAAGAGGAGGTGTCCGTCTCCCTCCAGTGTAATTAGCAGGTGGTTATCCAAGCTCTCAGAGCTTCTAGAAGCAGGTTACCAGGCAAGGTTGTGCACATTGGCCTCGTGATGAGCATTTCCAGTCTGGCTCCATAGAAAGTCAGAGCTGATGTGTGCCACGTTGCTCCCTGGGCTGCCTGTGTCTCACTGCTGGTCCCATTAAGGGCCTACATTCGCAGCTTATAATCTGCCACATCTCTTGGCCTCCCTTTTCCCATGGGTGCTGTATTTCAGCCTCTCGGCTGGCTGTAGGTCCTGCCTACAGGCAACACTGATGCCTCCCTCTGCTCCTCCCTAGGGTGGAATTTCAGAACAAGTTCTACGTGGGAGCTGGGTACAAATTTTCTCCGTTCTCCTTCAATCACATCATCAATGGCACTGCAGAAGAGTAAAACCAGTGCATCACTTCTTCCCTCCTCAGATCAGCCTCTGTTTTCTTGTGGTGGCTCACCCACAGAGTAGAATACATAGGATGAAAGAGAATGGGGCATGGCCCTTAAAGAAGAGCTGTAGATGAATAATGTCCTAGCTACATTCCAATATACTCCTGTATCAGCTGAGAGATGACCTGTATCAGCTGGTCTGGCTGGACCCTTGGCTGAGACTCCATTGATGTCTGCAAGTACCGGGTCCTCAGCATTTGATGGGGTCAGCTGCCTACTGCTTGGCTGAAAAGAGGAGATGCAGCTTTGGAATTAAATTGGTATTAACAATCAACTCACATGCGTTCTGCTCCATTTGCTGCCGTGTCGTTGTGGTATATTTCTTTCCAAGGAAAATATGTTTTGTATGTGGTTGATCATATGACATAATTAAGTCCCTTATAAGATTTCAGCCCTTCATTTAGCACACAATGCAAACCATCTCAAAGACAGATCGTATTGCAGACTTGTAATTTTCTACATGCTTTACTAGAATAACCCCCTTTTTATCTGAATTGCTCCAGGGCTTGACAGAACTGGATTATAGAAGTGTACACACATCATCACTTAACAAAAGTGTTAGTTTTGAGCTATGTAAACAAAAGTTTCCACATTGGCAGTCATTTTATTTCTCTTGATTGACTTGTTTGTCACTGAAGTATCAACATGTGCTGTATTTTTCAAGATGGGTTGTTAAAGCAGATTGTGCAGAAATGCTAATATCTAATGAACAGAAAGAAAAGTGGAATCAAACAGTTGGCGTGAATTTGAAGTACTGATGTACTGCGATATTCTGAAATATTCATGAATTACTAATCCTTCAAACTGAATAATGCTAATCAAAACAGGCTATGTTTATTTAACCCTGAACTATGTAAAGAAAACAGAGTACACGAAGGGATTTGGAGTGGACAGTGCTCCCTTCCAAGGGGCGTGACTGAAAAAGCCCTTATTTTCACTGCCTTGATATCCAGCTCCACCAAAAAACCCACATGGGAGTGTTCCCAGCAGGACACACAGTGTTATAGTCATCACAGGTTAGGTTTCTGCAGTAGTCAGGCTTGAGAGTCACCTCCAGCCTCAGTGACAGGGGAGAAAATACAGCCCTAAGCCAAGCAGTAGTCCCAATTTTTCCCTTGGGGCCTCAAGAAGCCATACTAACCTTTTCAACAGCTTGGGCTCGAAGCAGCAGCTGGAGCTGAGAAGAGGTGGGCACAGGCGTGTGTCTATGACCCATGTGTGGTCCCAGGTCACCAGTCCTTTGGGCATAAGTAACCTATGGTACAGGAAAAAGCTACACAGACATGACTGCAGATGGTGTCACAGTTGCTCAGCATATGAAAAACATTACCTTTGTTTCTTCCTTCCAGCCTGTTTTGTCTATTTCTACTCAGGAGAAAAGCTGTCTTGCAGAAAGAATGGCCAAAGTAGTTTGATACATTATCAAAAGCAGAGAAAAGAATTTGCTTTATTAAACACCGGGTGAATTTTCTGCACAAGCACATATTTTAACTTAATTGCAGCCTTCCATGTGATTGCAATGTAACTGAGAAGATGATTACCAGAAATAGATTATCTGCTCCTTTCAGAGCTTCTTGGTGTTTTGCTCTTTGTCTAAGGCTTACATTTTAAGCAAGAAAAACAAGTTATGCTGTGAATACCTCAGGTGACAAGATGGTCTGTTGTTTACTGTACTGAACAGCAACTCGGACATTGGGCTTAATTCTGTATTCAGTTCTCTCTCTTTCTGTGTGCAACCAAATAACACAGCACAGCCTGTGTCACTTGAACATTTGTGATATGGGAATGATGCTTCCCCACTCCACAAGAGGAACAAGCCCACTAATATTCCAGAAGCATTCAGATTGCTGAGAGGCAGGGTTGCACTGGTACACTTTGAAGAGAGCCCTGCATTTCATCTGGGTTCTTTTTAAGAATTCTTTAAAAACCTAGAAATGTTCCAGAGTGTGCTTTTCTTTTGAAAGGTTTTCCTGCAGGAGATGAGGAGGATTTTGGAGTAGACCAGTGACTGCGTGTTCCCTGCACAGCTGCTAAGCTGAGTGGAACATGTTGTTTAGCTGGTTCTGTGAATGTGGCCATCAGGTGTGGTCAGGTCCAGCAGAAATCATTGTTGTAGACTAACAGACCTTCTTGGTACAACAGCCCAGTGTCTTTAACTGTACTGTACCCAGTGCTGGAAGAGCTGTGGCTTGTGTTACTTGACCCAAGGCAGGACCTCAGCATGGCCCTCTGCAGCAGACTCAGGATCTGTGCCTATGGGGAATGGGTGCTTCTGGACCCAAAGCTCATCCCATTGCTAGGAAGTAGTTTGTTTCTGAGAACTGGTGGCATGACTTTAGTCATTTTGTAGGGAATGAACATTAAACAAAGCTCAGTGAATGACCATGTAGAAAGAAAAGGCAAAGAAAGGAAGTCAAGCAAACTGGTTTTAATCACTCACAGCCATTCTTTCCTGAGTTTTTTATTCCTTCTTGTGAGAGCAATTGCTCTGTGTGTGTCTGTGCCCTCCCACCAAGACAACTTTGTGATGTGGAAGATTAAAAAAGCTGGGTGTTGAGTTCTTGTCCAGTCTCTCAGGTCCTCTGGACTGGTGATAATGAACTAGCTTTTGGACTGAGGTTTCAGAAGCTCCAGGAGTCAACAGTTTCTTGGGATTTGGCCTCTGGCTTCTCCAGAAAACAACACTTTCCTCAGTCTTTACCTATATGATGGCTCTCCATTAGCCAGCATGGAGACCTTTCTTTTCTCTGTCCCACTCTTTTTTTTCTCCTGGACCTTTCATGCATGTAGGCATTTCCATTTGTTCTTCACTCTGACCAGCCTTTGCCTTTCCATGGCAAATAAGTAAGATACCATGAGGTGGTTGGAAAAATGTAATAGGCATAGTATCCCTTTATGCAATCCCAAATACCTGGGCCTGAAAGCTCATCTTTGTGGCTTTGAACTTCACTGGGATTTTGGTAATTTTTTTCCCTTTTTTCTGGGGAACTAGATGCTGAAACATCTACACCCTCCTGTCATTGCACACATGCTGTTGGAGTTTTTGCAATGAAAACATAATGGTATGGATCTGGCAGCTTGGATCGTGCAGCTCATTCAGCAGATGCCAATAACAGCTGAATATTAGATATTATTAAGAAAAACATATAAAATAAAGCTGTGAGATAGCATATGTTGGCTGGTAGCAAATATCTTCCAGATGCTTGGAAGGATGAGATTCAGCTTGGGAGTTACTTTGATAAAACTATTGCACCATTGCTGCCAGCTCAGTGTATGTATTCAAAACAGAAGGATTTTGGAAACCCTTGTGAGACCAATACCAACACTGAGTAGTAAAGATCAGCACATACATTCCTAGCTAAGAGCCCACAGCTATCATGGCACTGAGATTTGCTGCACAACAAGGCTGGGATCCCTGTGGCAGTTTAAAGCCATGAATGATCCCTGCATTTTGCCACCTCATCGAGGAATTTAGAAAGATGAAGCAGACCTTATTTTTCTCATGGTGCTGGTACCTGAGTTAGCTTTATCTGGCCTAAGAAGAGCCACTGGCTGCAGTGCCCAGGCAGGGGATGGCAAAGGTGCCTTACATGAGCACTGACTGCTGCACGACCTACCTCTGAAACCTATGAGCTAAGATCTTGCTGGTGTTTCAATAATGATGTGTCCCAGCACCCTCCTTCCACCTGCTTGGAGTCGTCCTCAAAAGAAGGGATGAGTAAGGACCAACACCTGTGGCAGACAGTGCCTGTGAAGGATCTGCAGATGCAGTGAGAGAAGCACAGGTCAGCACCTGGGCACCCTGCCTGCAGCACCTACCCCTGGGTGGTGGAGGTGGGCGGAGAGGGACCTGCCTGTGCCCAGAAAGGAGGAAACCTGACTCCTGGGAGCTGGATCCCAAAGAAACAGCACTGCCAGCGCTGTAAAAAGTAAATAGCTGAGGGGAAACAGTCAGAAGAGAGAAAAGGTCTTCTCCTTTGAGCCTGAGACACCACAGAGGTAAGAAAGCTTCATGAAATATTAACATATTTTTAGTATTTAGTAAAATCTTGCTTAATATTGGGGGCATCTGATCATTTTTATGATCAGATAGCCCCACTCTCACCTGCAGGGAAAATTCTCAGCCAGAGAAGGTCTCTGACCTTACTGACAGAGTTCCCAGGTGCTGTCACAGGCAGCACTGCACATTGTGTGACCTTTGTGCCTCACAGCCCAGCGGGGGTGGGAAGGGGGTCACAGCATCGTTCTGATGGGTCCCAGCAGCAGTTTCACTGTACTCTTGGTTGTTCCCTTCAGCTGGAGGATTTTTATTTTCCCTGCCAGCAACAGCTTTGTCACTGCTGTTCTTTTGACTCATGCAATTGGTGTTTAGTTGGATTTACAAATAGAGGGAAATTTGTGACTCCCTGAAGATAGCTGCTCCATCAAGGCAAACAGGGCTGCAAAGGTTTAGGATGAACAAAACTCAGGTTTGGTAGGAAATGTTAGGAGGTTTACTGTGCCTGCACAGATTTCTGGTGTTATTTGAGGTGCTGGAGAGTATATCCCACCTGCTTACCATCTGCTATTTGTGGTTTTATTTGTGGTAGAGACCAGTGTGGTTCTCACATTAGGTACTCTGCACCATCCTGCTGCCTCAGTGTCTGGCTACTGTGGGGTGCTGGAGGTGGCACTGCAGCCTTGTGCTTGAGCATCTGACCTTCACTGCAAGTTCTGCACAGCAGCACCAGGGGTTGGGGTTCCCTCCCCTTTTGTGGAAGAGTTGTGGCACTTCCCAGAAAGAATCCCCGTAGCCCAGGGTGGGTACCAGTGAAATGCTCCATGACCCCTCGGCAAACAGTAGCAGGGCATCCCAGCATCAGGATGGGTGGGCAAAGGCCCAGGCCGGGATGCTTGTCCTGCCACCACTGTGGGCTGTGCCTGCCACAGACGTTTTGGAGGAGAGTGTCTGTTTAAGCTGACAGAGGTGTGATGTGGCAGCCTAGGGCAGAATGTGTTTGCAGGTCGCTAGTCATAGGGGAACAGAAAAGGAGAAGAACAGGTGCCCAGATTTTGTGATTGCAGAGCCTTTGGCGATTCAGACACGCAGTAAATCTTTGCCTCCTCCCCATGGGCTCCTCCAAGCACCTTGTTTGGCTTCTGTTGAGCCAGTTCCACTTGGAAATAGTCCCTAGCTGTCGGCCATCATAATCAGCTGGTGGCTCTGTGAGCTGCTGGCAGCTATTGCTGCCTCCGAGGGCACTGCTGAGAGACAGATGTAGCCAATATCCTTTTCGTATTCTTGGGTGCTGGACTGTAATGATCTGTGACAGCAAGGTCAGTGTATGTGACCCAGCTGACTAATCTGCCATTAGTCCTTGGCCTCCTTCTAACTGTACCTCAGTATAGGATCAAGGTGTCCATCCTGGAGTACTGTAATTCCATGCCTTCTGTGTTCACCTGCCTTCTATCTCAAATGGAGTTTTGTATCTTTCATTAGATGCTCTCAGCCATTAATTCCCTTCAGCTCTCACCCTCTGCAGCCTCCCTGGTCTCTGCTGGTTGGCTGTGAACACAGCCTGGGACAAGCCCAGCACTCCTGAAGGGAGGTAATCAAAGGAGAGGGGGTCAGCAAAGTGCAGATGTATTGAGCTCCCCTCTGCATGCCTGAGCATGCACTCAGCAGGAAAGGTTGTGGTTTTAAACAATCAGTGTGCTTAATCCCTGCCCTGAGATTAAAATGAGTTTTTCTGATGAGGAAAAGCAACAGTGGTGAGACCAAAAGATCTAGTGCTGAAAGCCAGGAACACTGGCAGAGGAATCCATCTTCCAGTTGCAATCCAGAATTGCTGTGTTTATGGATGCCCTGAGAGGATGGAGATTAGTGTGCCGAGGGATGAGGCAGAGGGGTTGGTTTGCAGCAGGAAGCTGTGTGCTGCTTGGGTGAGGAGCTAAGTGCTACCCCTGCCACCCTCAGGGTCCTGGGGTTAGGGAGCTGGCTGGGTCACCTGCCTCTGCCTCACTGGGGGCTCCCACCACACACTGAGTAATTGCAGAGTGCAGCACCTCTCCTGTTCCCTCAAACCCAGCTCCACTGGGGAGCCTCCAGCAGGGGCAACCACTACTGGTTGTATCATATCTTGACTCCTGGAGATGCAGCATCTTTTAGACTGGCTCTGCATTTCACTGACCTCTGAGCTGGGGAAGTTGTCACATGCTCTCTTGCCTTAGCAGGTCTCCAGTCTTCCCTAAGGCAATCCCTGGACTTTCCATACAGATAGCCAGTGTGATGTGATGACTGATGTCTTTCTGCTCAACTAACTTACTCTGTGATGTTTCTATGTGTTTTTCACCAAAACCCTAACAGAGAGGGACATCTTCCAGTAGCTCCATGAAATTCATATTTGACTGTATCTGAAAGTTTCCACTCCAGTGTGAGAAACTGCCTTGCTGTTTTCTTGCTCAGGTGACTCTTCTGAGATTTCACAGGTAAATCCTAGCCTTGCCTACAGTGACAGCAGATCCCAGCAGGAGCTGAGATGGCCACTGCACCAAAAGAGGCAGAAAATGCTATTGGCTTGGAGGAAATCCACACAGACAGGAAAGAACCACCAAAAGGTGGGTTTCTGTTGACAGGACTAGAAATTTGGGTCCTTGTTTAGCTGGAGTAGAGGGAGGGTCCTCAGTTGTGCCACTCCAGCCATTTAAAACCTCTGTACATGGAACCACAACATCAGCATCCTACACTCCCCTCCCACCACACCTACCAGGCTGGTAGCTGCTGCTGATGGCAGTGGGAAGAACTGGATGGCTTGGTTTTTCTCATGCCTGTGCTTTGTGTAAACATTTTATTATATTGATAATTTGAGGATTCATTTACTTGAAATAATTTTTGAAATGCTACTCTGTTTCAAAAGCATTTTAAATAGTACAAGGCTGTCCTTCCTCCATTTGTACTGACTGCTGTTTCAGCAACCCCCTATTGAGCCCTGCCACCAGGATATAAAGCTGGTAGATGTTTGCAGGCTTTTTCCTGGTGCAGTCCCACAGGAGCAGGAGAAATTTTTTATGAAGATGAGGTACAATTTCACTGCTGATAGGTTTTGTGTCTTAATTTTCTTTTCATGTTTAGGACAAAAGACATTTACAGTGGAAGAAGCTGTGGAAACCATTGGGTTTGGGAGGTTTCATATCATGCTTTTCCTCATCATGGGCAGCACTGGGGTAGGTATCTGCAGCCATCTGTGCTGGCCTGAAAAAAGCCTTCTTCTCATTTTTCTCATTATTGCCATGCGATAACAACCATAAGTGCATACTGCTGCCAGCCCATTTTTTGCACACATACCTTCTCAAGCAGAATTTCTGCTATTTTCATCCTTGGTGAAAGTAGATTTTGGTCCCGTTGATATCAGACCCATTTCAGGGCAAAGCTGAGCGGGTTAGCCCAAAGCATCATGGTTTGGCTGCTGTTCTGGAGCACTGTCAGGACACGTCTTCGGTTAGGGCCTGAAGGTTAGGTTCAGCTTCACAGTTGCATTTTTCATGTCATCCCCATGGCACCCAAATCCTGTGCAATCTGGCTCAGAAGGCCTGGCATCTTCTCACCCCTGGCTACATGAAAAATTTCATAACTTTCAGGATCTTGGGTTAATTGTGTGTCTGTTTTGAGAACTTGGGCAAAAGCTGGATGCCAGGCTGGGCTAAAGATGTAATGAGAGTCTATCCATGAAGATTGCTGCAGCTGAGGTGAAAAAGTCTGAAGCTGTGTGCAAACAGTCAGCTCATTCCTAACTGAAGCCAGCACTGGGGCACACAGGCAATGGAGCAATGGTGTTTTTAACCAAAAACAGTTTTAAGAGTTCATGTTGGATGCCTGAATCCACAGCTAGGTACCCAACCAAAGCAGCTGGGTTTCCAGAGATAGTTGAAGATCTTCTAATAACCCAGAAGGGTAAGAGTCTTCTCTGCCAAGGATTACTCTTTCCAAACTTCCCAGATACACAGTGTACCTGTACCTGCTTTCTAGGTGTAACTTTCTCTCCTCCCTGTCGCCAAGATCTCCCAGGTCAGGCACAGGGCTCAGACCGCTGTGGAGGTACCATGGCTTCACAGGATTGTTCTGACATGGTGGAACTGCCATGGTTGCAGGCCTTGTAGGACTAAGAGACTTTTCCCTGTGGGATTCTTGTGGTTTCCCTTTCTTGCTAACACACGCTTGTTCCCAAAGGTGGCTGAAGCCATGGAGATCATGCTGATAGCTGTTGTGTCCCCTCTCATCCGATGCGAGTGGCAGCTCCAAGACTGGCAGGTGGCTTTAGTGACGACAGTGAGTGACTCATGTTCCCCCCAGACAGGTCATTCACCATGTGGTCATAGTCATGGGTACCACCATGGGTTTTGGAAAGCACATTTCCCAGCAAACCAAACAAATTCCTAGGGCCTCTTTAGAGGGATAAGAACAGTGCCACAACTGTAGACATCAGAAATGAAGCCGATGAGAGCAGATCCTCAGAGCAAGTATTGCCAAAGCAAATCCCCACTTCCACATTCTTATTTTGAAAACCCTGCCACCCACCCCCAGCTTTGAGGGTTGCAGCAGTACCTACACAAAGGAAGCCATCCCATGAAAGCCTCTCCCTTGTGGTTCTGGGCACCACAGTTCATCCTGCTGCCCTGAGAACACAGCTCACCCGCAGCTCAGAGAGCAGAGCTGCCCCATGTAGCTCGGAATAGACCCTCCACAACTGTGTTCCAATTCCCCTCAGATGGTGTTTTTCGGCTACATGGTGTTCAGCATAGTGCTCGGGCTCCTGGCTGACCGGTACGGCCGCTGGAAGGTGAGTGACTGCTGGGGGTTACACATCCTTTTCCTGCGCTCCACAGGAGCCATGCACTTGGCTGAGCCTGTGCTTTAATGACCCTGATTCCTGCCCTTTTGCAGATCCTGCTGCTCTCCTTCCTCTGGGCAGCCTATTTCTCCCTGCTGACCTCGTTTGCCCCATCCTACATCTGGTTTGTGTTCCTGCGGGCCATGGTAGGAGGTGGCGTGTCGGGCCACGCGCAAGGGTAAGGCCGTGCAAGCCGCCTTCCCAGAGAAGGCAACAGAGGGGCTGGAAGGGGAAAGGGGACCAAATTCCCACATCGCCTTGAAACAAGAAGCCATTCTGTAATTTCACTAAATCTCAGTCAATTGACCTAATTTGCAGTTCCCAAGGACTCCTGAGTCCTGGAATACAGGGGGCAGCTGGTTTACATTAAACTGTGACAGAGGGATTATTAAGAACATATAAAAACAATTAGACAGGTAACAGATGAGTGAAGGCTGCTTCCTCCTTAAAAAAAAAAAAAAAAAGTCACAACAATTCTGCTTAAGTAGAAAATTATTTTTGAATTATATGAAATGTTCTCACTGAAATTAAGTTTTTGTCTTGTTGGAGCAGAAAGGAGGATGTGGGGAAGACAAATTCACAATATTAACAACCACTTCACCAGGGGTCTGGAAAAATAGGGTTTTTTTTGTTGACTCTCTTATGGAAACAAATGAAACATTTCAGCACCATCCATGGTTCCTCAAAGCCTGGTTGCTGCCCACAAAGTGAAGTCCCAGACTGGTCACATTGACCCAAAAGCCCTTTGCTGAAGGAAAGGACATAGTGGAGAGAGGTGCTGTTGGGAGAAGGCACCTGAACCTAAGTCATGCATCTGCTGAGCTGCTGGCACAGCCTCCCTCACAGGAGGGCCCCCATTCCCTTGCCATGGAGGCTGCTCATGAGCCTCATGAGGATGGAAGGAAATTGAACATTTTATAAAACATTTCACTGGCTGAGACAGAAGGAGCCACTGAGGGTCTCTTCCAACCTCTCTCTCCCTGTCCAGCTAAGGAAAAACAATTCACACGAGGGACCTTGAGAGATGCCTGTGCCACGAGGCCCCTAGGGCATGCCAACCATTTTAAAAGTGGAACAGAGTTTTCCTTATTTCACGGAAAAAAAACCTTTACTAAAGTGTTCATTTCTATGAACATATCTATGCCTGTGCTGGGGTGACTGTGCCTATACCTCAGTCACCCCACAGGACCTTCTCATAGGTTTTCTGATGTATAGAATGCAGTGTTTACCTTCTTGTATCCCACATCCATGGGTTGGAAAGGATTCGTGCCTTGTGTTTCCCTTGCATGTAATTTGGTGCTGGAGTGGGAGGCATATTGGACAGGGATTCCTTGTCTCTGGGTGCTCAAAGTGGAAGAGGGATGGTTAGAGGGTTGGTATTCATTCTATGAATCCAGGTGAACTGTTACTTGATTTGTATGGAAATTCTCATTGCAACTGTAGTTCTGCTTTTTTTTTTCCTCTTTTGCTAGACTTATCATAAAAACGGAGTTTTTGCCCACCAAATATCGGGGATACATGTTGCCCTTATCTCAGGTAAAAGTGAGCACATTGCTGTTTATTCTATGTCCGAGTCCCAGGAGATTTGTCCCACCACAGCTTGGAAGCCACGTCTCTAGCACATCAGCACTTCTCCCAGAATAATCCCACTTGTCTGGGTCTGAGCGAGTGTCCACTGCCTCCTGCGCCTCAGAGTGTGGCATCTGTGTTATTAAAGACATACACAGGAGAGAGACAATATCTTCTCAAATAATTTGATGCTCCAAACATTTTATAGGGACTTTGAGTGATGGCTGACACCCAGCCTCTTGGTTGTCCTACTGACAACAGGGCTACCTGGTCTAATGGGGTCAGCGCTGATGGACTGGCAGGCACTGGAGCTGGTGGCATTCCCAGCCCACTCCAAGCTGAGATGTATCCCCCCTCCCTCCTCTTGGGATCCCCAGAGATAACAAGTGGTTTATGTAGTGACTCCCAGGTGAGGTCGTAATCTGCTCCTCTCCCTGCTCAGGTTCTTCCAGGGGCTTTGCACAGGAGGGTTAGCACAGATAGTCCCAAATTTGGCCTGACACATGCTGGGAAGGTTGTGCCCACTTGCTGGGTCATTGCTTACTGCAGACTTCTGCAGTGGGGAGTTGCTGCATGTGCAGATGATCAGTGGTGACACCACTGAGTGCACAAATTCATCCCACTGCGGAACCAAAATCTTTGTGTCAGGGATAATTTACTTTTCACTGCAGTCTCCTTGATCCCAGGGCATCATTACCAAAGTGTCATCAGAAACACAAAGATTTATGGAAGAACAATCTTGTATTTCTCCCCAGAAATGTGTTATTTCTGTATACAGGATATTAATGAACTTGCTGCACTTTTGTGATTTGTGGCTGAGCTCCCTTAGGTGATCCCCTGGAAAGGGATGTGTCTCCTAATGGCAACAAGTGAACTTCAGAAAGGAATGCACTTGCAGATCAGAGGCCAGATTGGCTGTTGGTATAGCTGGGCATTGAGTCTACTGGAGAGCCACCAACTTTCAGCAGCAGAAATCTGGCCTGGTTTTGCCTTCTGAGCTTGTAAATCTCCTGAATCCTGAGCTTGCAAACCTGTCTTCCCTGAAGAGACCTAGACAACAGGAAAATTCATGAGCATGAGCATTAGCAGAGAAGTGACTGAAGGACAAAAGCAGGGGCTTTAAGTACAATTGTATCCACAGCAAATTATTGGTTTTTACCTGGAGCTAATTAAGACTACCTTCACTGTCCTTCCCCAAACTTCTGTGTTTCCCTTTTTCCTCCCACCCAAGCCCAGCTTCTCAGACAGCCACAGGATGGCTCAGTTGAACCTCAGCATTCCTTAGCACAGTTCCCCATCTATCCACAGAAGAAAGGGAAGAAAATAAATCATTGCCATGTGTTCATGTTCTAACCCCTTGCTTTCCCTTGGAAAGGTGTTTTGGTTGGCAGGATCCTTGTTGATCATTGGCCTGGCATCAGTGGTGAACCCAACCATCGGCTGGCGGTGGTTGATCAGAATTGCCTCCATCCCTGGCATCCTTCTCATCCTGATGTTCAAGGTAGGAAGATCTCCACTCTCCACTCCCTGCTGTACTGCCACTGCCCTGATGTCTCCCCAAGCACCATTGCCCTCCACTCCCTTCATCCTAGGGCTCTTCTTGTGTCCTCCTTTCTCCTCTTCAGTCCTCTCACACAGCAGCTTGGTAAGGTCCTGAAGTCCTGGTGGGGCTGCAGACCAGCTTCTGGGACATGCCACCTTGCTGGTGATGGCCTGCCATTACTGGTCTGCTGTAGCCCTCCAGCAGCCCAGGTTCCAGTGTCCAGGCTGCCAGCAGTACCCAGGGATTGTGGGTTTATTCTATAAACCCACAGTCACCAAGAAGCAGACAGGCTAGATAGTGTATGAAAAAAATGACAAATAATACCTTCAGTCTAATGCTGGGCCCAGCACACTCTTTTCAGTCTTAACATTTTCTAGGGCTGAGGAAAGTAGCCTCAGTGAAGTGTTCACAGAGTTCCAGGGTAAAGCACAGTTTCCCCAGGTTTCCTTCTGCTTCGGAAAAACCAGCCTTGGACATGAGAACCATGGAGGGTGGTTCTGGTTTGTGGAGGGTGGTGTGGGAAATCCCTGCTTACAGTGCTTGTGGGCACTGCAGTGCTGAGCTGTGGCTGCTGGAGGCTATACAGATGTAAAAGCTCTTCCTGCAGCTGGCTGAATGCACAAGTCCGTCTGGGGTGCTACATGGGCACGCAAATATAAGGTTGCTGTGAGCGTGCACTCATATAATCTGGATGTTTAGTTTCCCTGATTATTTTTGCCAGAAAATTTGGATAGCTGAAGTTTGTCATCCAGGGGAAAACGAAGAGAGAGTTAATATACATACCTTCAAAAAGGGGGCCTTTAATTCATATTTGAGTGAAATAGATGTAATTGTAATTTAGCAGAGCCCTTTAATTTAAAAAGTATTTTATTTTGGAAAGAGCACCAAATGCTAGTGACGAGTTACATTTCAACCACTTCTTCCTTTTTATTAAAATGGCCTTGTTGTGGCTTCCAAGACTTTTGCTTCAGCAAGTAATACGTGCCTCATCTCATTTTAGAATGTCAATTAATTCAGGATTGTTTTTGTTAACTTGTGTCTTTGGCTTTCACCTTTCATAAGTGCTTGATCCAGATCAAGTGGCAGAGCCCTGGGAGCTAGACCACCAAATGGGTTTGTGGGGCAGGGTGAGCCCCCCAGCATGGGGAATGGGGGGCTGGGGCACACAGAGTACCCCAGGGCATGGCTGGAGAGAAGGACAGACAGGGGCTGCTCCAGCTCATGGAGTGCCCTGTGCCAACCTGAGCAGGCTCCTGGCATGATGTGAAGCTGTGAGTAGGGCAGGAGAGGTGCAGAAAGGCTTCCTGCTCTGCTTGCAGTTCATCCCAGAGTCGGCACGGTACAACGAGTCCACGGGAAACACAGGGGCTGCGCTGGCCACGCTGCAGAGGATTGCCAGGATGAACAGAGCGGCCGTGCCAGAGGGGCAGCTGAGGGAGCCTGCCAAGGTAAGGCCAGGCTGGCCAGCCCATCCATCCCAGGCTGCTGGCATCTGGGCTTTAGGGAGGGAATAGGACACCAACCACATCTTGCTCTGTCTCTCTTGTCCTCCTTTCCTGATTCTTTCCCAAACAACTGCTGAAAGTAATGATGGAGATGTCAGTGTTATTTTGGAGAAACAGTAAGGTTGGCCTTCAAAATGGAATGGAATTTTCTGCTCTTTTTTTCTTTCTCAGTTTGTGTTTGCTCAGAAAAATACTGGGCTAAGAAATATTTTCTTCCTTTTCCACAGAAAGGGCTACTGGCAAAGGATGCCATTCCTTATTGCCCGCCCATCCTTCAGGGGTGTTTCCTCTGCCATGATATCTGGGAACTGTCCCTTGGGGTCTCTCTCAGGGCTGTGACTGGGCAGGCTGCAAGGATCCCTGCTGAGGTCAGCCCAGCCCTCCCAGAGGCTTCTCCAAGCCCCTGGCCTGGCTTGTCCACTGTGTCCCAGGACCCCAGATCCTGAATGTGGAGCCACCAACCAGCAGAAGAGGGTCAAAGGAGGAGAGACCATTTCACCAATACTATCACGTGTACCTATAAGCAGCTGAGCAGCTCAGGAGCAAATCGCTGCTGGACTTAAATGCCCAAAAACATGTGTGGGTGCTGCAGGGAGGGCCAGTCTCCCCCCAGACTTGCCTCCCATCATCCAGTCTGGGCCCTGACGACTGGTGGGTGGGAGGACTTAGGTGGCTCCTTTGACCCCCAAGACAGGGAGATAAGACAAATCCATTGTTCAGGTCCTCAAAATTATTCAACTCTTTTAAATCCCTTTCCTGGATCTTTTTCCTGCATATTCAATCCCACAGTCACCAAGTATTGTCCTTAGCAATTCATGCAAGATGGTGCTATTGTATTGGAATTATTTAGGATTAAAGCTTCCCTGTAATTTAATTGAATTTATGTAATGGACCCACACTGGATGTGGGAAGGGCTTTTGTTAGTTTTGCCCTCTCTCAGGCTTAACCAATGATGAGAAAAGTAAAAATAAAGTCAACCCACACCATCCCTGTGAACTTGTCTCCCCTCGGTGGTGGGACCCTGGAGGGCAGCAGGCCAGGCAGGACCCCCAGTGCCTGCCAGTCTCTGCTCACTGGCATTTCAGGCCCCCCAGAAAGATGTGTGTGTCCAAAAGCTTGCTTCACAGGCAGAGCAGCCTGCAGGGCAGTGGGAGCTGACAGAAGCCCAGAATTCTGGCCCCCCACCAGCAACAAGGGCCCCCTCTGGCACCATCACAGTCACAATGGGACCTGACCGCTCAGATCTGGGGTCCTTTGGGGCCAGGAGAGCTCAGGATGCTCGCTTCTCCCCTCCTCTATCCTTTGCAGTGCAGGCTCCCGTGGGTATGTTTGGGGAAGCAGGGCTTTGCTCTCTGGAGGTTTGATGGGTGCTCTGTTGCACCATCTGTGACTGTCTGTGCCACAAGCAGCCTGGGGACAGGGGGAGCACAGGAGGACCTGGCGTGCCAACTGCTCTCACTTGCTCCTGTATATAAGACGCCCTTATAGAAACTTCTTTTTCTATTGTATAATTTTCAGGAAAGAAGGGGAAGATTCAAGGACCTCATCCACCCCAAATACCTCAGAACCACTTTACAGATATGGATCATATGGTAAATTTTTTTGTCTCTTGCTCATCAGCTCATTCTCTTGGTTGACAGTGTGCAGGGAGCAGAATTCTCCCATTGACTCTGCCTTTAACGGGCACCACACTGCCTCTGATGCCACGTGGCTGCAGATCCTTGGCAGCTGAAGGGACATGGATCACCATAGGTTTGTCCTGTTTCAGACCACACTTCAGACACCCTGACTGGTTGCTGTTAACTTAAGCAGAAAAGGGCTGGACTTCCAGGATGGTGTTATGAGTCCTTCCTCAGGACAGAGCAGCTCCTGGGAGCCAGAGGAGAGCCACGGGGCAGAGCCCACACCTGACTGCAGTGGGAGCAGCTGTGTGCCTGCAGCTCTCCTTCCCTGCTTGGGGAAAACTTATTCTCCCCAAGGATGGCCAAAGGAGCAGTGATACACGACTCTGACAGAAACACATTCACCATTACCAGTGCTATTCACTGGGGGAAATTGACTGAGGAGACAGGTTTCATATGCAGTGTTCCCAGTAGCTCTATGCAAGGGTAATACATGTTTCATTGGCTTTGCTCTCTGGAATGGAAATGTATAAATAATAAGTCTGTAGGAACCCATTGACCCAAAATGTTGTGAAGTCAGCCCTTGAATTTTTTATGGTTTTTTTCCCCTTGACGTCTATGAGAGTTACGAAATATCTTTTTGGTTTTTTATCTTTCTTTGTCTCCTAGTCATCCCAGGAGTTCCTGGTATGTTCTCAGTTCTGCATTTTCATCCCCCGCTGCATTCCCTGCCTTCCCAGGTGGCCCAAATTCTGCTGCTCATTTCTGAAACTGCCAGAGGGGATAAAAAAGTGAAAATTACTTTTCAGCCTGCTTATGATCAAGTGTATTCTGAATTACTTGATAATGACAAAGCAAGGCTGCCCTCACCTGGGTCCCCCAGGGGGTCACAAGTCCTGCCAGCAAACCTGCTCCAGCATAGGCTTCCCAGGGGGTCACAGCCTCCTTCAGGCATCCACCTGTTTTGGCATGAGAACCTCCAAAGGCTGCAGGTGGATCTCTGCTCCACTGTGGACTTCTATGGGCTGCAGGGGCACAGCTGCCCCTCCATGGTCTGCACCATGGGAAGCATGGGAATCTCTGGTTTTGCACCTGGAGCGCCTCCTGCCTTTCATTCTTTACTGATTTCGGTGTTTTCAGGGATGTTTCTCACACATGTTTTCACTTCTTTCTCTGGCTGCTGTAGCTCTTGCATAGTTTTTTCCAGTTCTAACAAATGTTATCCCCAAGGCACTACCAGTATTGCTGATGGGCTCAGCCTTGGTCAGCAGCTGGAGTCAGCTGGCATCGGCTCTGTCAGGTATGGAGAAAGCTTCCAGAAGCTTCCCCTGAAGAGAAGCTGAATTCTATTTCCCTGAATAGAAGCCACCCCTGTAGTCCCAACCCACTACCAAAACCTGGCCATGCAAACCCAATACAAAGCTGAGCAATGAGCTGGGGTGAGGTTTACTGAGAAAGAGCAGTGCCTGGACATAGGTAGGAGGGCAGTGCCATGGGACAGGTGACCAGTGGCCTGGTGGATGCCTGGGCCACCTCTCTGCTCAGGCTAAGGGGTTCCATCATGCAGAGCTGGTGCAAGCAGCAGGAGATATTCCAGGGCACCCCAAACCTGCTGCATTTGAGTTTCTTCACCTTCCCCATCACATCTGCACCTCACTGCAGCATTTCTCCCACAGGCTTGGCATAGCTTTTGCTTATTACGGCGTCATCTTGGCCAGTGCTGAGCTGCTGGAGCGGGACCTTGTCTGTGGCTCTGCAGCCCCACCGCTGCAGGACTCCAGCGATGACTCTGAGGAGAGCCACAGCCCCTGCCACTGCCATTTGTTTGGGCCTGCTGCCTACCAGACCATGATCATCAGCACAGTCGGGGAGATCGCACGTAACCCCTTCCCCCTTCCCTGCCCTGCCATTCCCCTCTCGCAGTGCTCGCTGCAAAGGTTTGAGCTGTGCGTGCACTTGGTGACAGGGGCTGACACAAACTGGGCACTGCTCTGGGATACAGGCCACGAGCCTGTGGCTCCTGGCTCAGCAGGGCACTCAGTGGGACACACCTCAGGCCCTGGTGTTTGGCTGGGTTGTGGGCAGAAGGAGCAAAACCACCCAGGCCTGTGCTGCTCACCCAGCCGTGCCTTCCTTGCATGGCTCAGGACAGACTTTGGTGTCCTGCCTCAGCATAGCCAATTTCAGAGAAGCACAGGCTTCACCATCTGAGGGGAAGGGTGAAACAAAAGGGGCATGGAGGCAAATCACAAACTTTGGGTGCAGGAAGAGAATGATAGAGTTTGTGCTTTTTACAGGATGTTTGGTAGGCACTGGGCATGAAGACAGGTATTTTTGAGTCACACTGTGTAAGGTCTGTCAAGGCAGACAATCATTGCAGTTAGATCATCAAATGTTTCACGATTTTCCTTTTTATTTCCAGTGAATCCTGTGAACGTTCTCAGCATCAATCTCCTCGGTAGACGTCTAAGCTTGTGTATCACCATGGGATGTACAGCTCTATTCTTTCTTCTCCTTAATATCTGCACCTCAAGGTACTCTGACTCAGACTATTGGTCTTGTTTGAGGGTATATAATGCCGAGGGCAGGACATCTGGTATTCTCACATCACCAGTCTGTCAGGCTTGTAGGTCTAAGAAAAGCCTCTGACTGGCTGTCCTTTTCCTGGGAAAGCTGTGGCAGCAGATTCTGTGGTGCAGTGGTGTGCAGAGGGGCTCACTTGTATTACTGAGCCCACATGGCTTCCCCTAAGCATCCAACAAGCTGCTTTCTGGCACAGTCCAGAAAATTAAAAAATGTGTGAACAACATGCACTGGAAAGAAGTTATATTTTTCATTCCCTTTTTTCCCCCGTTTCTTTCTTTCTGCCATCTCTGCTGATGCTGCTTGGTGACATTAACTCTGCTCCACATGGCTTTCTCTCCAGTGCAGGCATGGTTGGCTTTCTCTTCATGCTGCGTGCCTTGGTTTCAGCCAACTTCAACACCATCTACATTTACACGGCAGAGGTGGGTTCTGCTTGAGGTATGTTGAGCTGCTTGGAGGCTTCAAATACCATTTGTGTACACCCAGGAATGCTGCCTGCTAGCTTAGGGACTACTTAAGAGTCACCTTCCTAGAACTGTCTCTCTCTTGGCATCTTGCCTGCAGTGTTTTCATATGCAAGATAAAAGAAGGAATCAGAAAATCAGCTTGGAGATGACAGGAGTAGATGGAAGAGGAGTGCCCTACTAAGCCAGCTGTCGCTCAGCTCCTATAAAACATTATTTTTGAGGATGTCGGGTACCACTATCTTCCAAAACCCACAATCTTTCCCTTATTTAACCCCCACAGTGACAAAACAGACTATCACTAAAAGGAACATTTTTCACCACTTAAGGGACTGTATGAGATAGTATATGGTGTTATATGCATGATTCTTTTCCCTTAATGGAAATTGGTATGTTCTCTCTGCAAAAGGTTTTAACACTTTAAAGAGCTTTTCCTTCATACAACTTTGGAGTCATGAGTTCTGTGAGTTAAGCTTAAATTGTTGGGGTTTTTTGTTCTCTTTTTTAAAAACAATTGTATGGCGTTAAATTGATTTCCTTATTAGTTGACTAAAGTGATCCAAAGCAAACAGAAGTAGCTCCCTTGCACTTTTAAACTTGCACCTGGCTTTAATACCACAATTTTAGTAGTTTTGAATAAGTTGCTGTTGATGTAAAGACCATTGCTGTAACAGCCATACCATAAATCAATCCTACTCACAATTTAATCAATGATCAAAATCTTTTGAGCCAAGTGCCTGGACTCTTCTTGAATAACTTACTCAATTTTCTTGGCCCAGTAAAGTATTTAAACAAAGGCTTATATGAGTAGACTTGCTAAAATCCGTTGATATTAAGACTAAAAGTTCAGTAAAATTCATATTTGTTTCATTAGCACAGGTGTTTGGGAGGTGTCAAAGATAAACGACACAAAGCACATTCTTCTAAGCCTGAATACTTCTTACTGGGATCTGTTTTTCTTTTTCATCCTCTAAACAAAGGTGCTGTTGATAAAAATGAATAGGCAGACTTGAACTCTGCAGATGATATCTTTTCTTCCTGCTTCCCAGATACAGGGGGGCCCAGCAGTATAATCAAAATTTTTCCTTTAGCATCTGTGATTTTGATCACAGAGCCAGGAAATAAAGTGGTAGTAGTGGTGCTAAACAAAGGGGAATCACATCCAGCTTTGACTTTCCCTAAAACTTTACTTGGGGCAAAAAATGAGAGATTTGTAATGGCTCAAATGAGGCCCAAGGGAGCTTTTATTTCTTTTCATATCTTATCCCATTAGCTACCCTTGATAACACAATGGGTCTCTCTGATAAAAAAAAAAAAAGAAAAAGAAAAAGAAAAGTACAGATATTGCAGATTGCTGTTGCACTAACCCAATTAATTTCTGGCCTGTTTTAGGTTTATCCCACCACAATGCGAGCGCTGGGGATGGGGACAAGTGGGGCATTGTGCCGTGTGGGAGCAATGGTGGCTCCATTTATATCACAAGTAAGGGCGTGCTTGATAATGTTGGTAAACATTGTGCTGAACACTACCAGCAAATACAGAGGTGTCCCTGAAATTCATCCCCAAAAAAGGGAGGATATAATATACACGGAGTGCTTGGGTGGTCCTTGCCAGACACAGCTTTGAGCGACTCTCATCATAGAGTTCAGCTCACTAGTATTTGATACTTTCTGAAAGTCTTAAGGTTCACAAGATACTGTTTTTTTTCCACTGTGGAGTCTCTCAGGCACTTGTGACCCTTTGTCCACTCTTAATTGCTAATTAAGTGCCAGCCCCCCACACCAACGAGCTGCTGTTTAATGTTCTTTGACCTGCAGGTTCTTATGAGTGCTTCTTTCTTGGGAGCCCTGTGTCTCTTCTCCTCTGTGTGCATCATCTGTGCCATCTCTGCAGTGACACTGCCCATCGAGACCAAGGGCAAGGCCCTGCAGGTGGGTACCACCACGGCAGGAGCTCCTGTGGCTCCAACTGCTGCTAGGGACTCGTAGGTGATGATGCAGCCAGAATCCAACCCAGCATTCCTGAGGTTTCTCAAGCCTGACAGGCACTCTCAGGAATGTGCTGCTGCAGCAGCTTCAAGCACCGTTACCCCAGTTGCCCAAAGCTTGCATCTTGTGAAAGACCAAGCCAGGCTGCCAGCCCCAGCCACCTCATGTGAGTATGTGAGCTTTAGCTTGTGCAAGCCCCTCCTTGCATCTCTTTCCAATCCTGACTTGAAGGAGCAGCTTCCCAGGCACATGCTCTGCTCTGCATGTGCTGCAAGGAGAGAGGACAGCAGATGCAGAGAGCACCTAAACTACCAATTTCTCAATCAAATTCAAGGCCCCTTCATCAGTCCATCAGCTAAACCCTTGTGGCCAGTGTTTTCTATAAAGCAATTAGCCAAAACACTAAGCCCAAAGATTAAGGGGGAAAGTTTAAATTTAGCAGGCTCCAGTGTGCAAGTCACACAGTTTAATTAGAGGAGGTGGTGAGCAGTCCTGTGATTCCAATAAATTCATCTATACCAGCACAGAGATTTTCATGGCATGCAGCAGCATGGCCACACCACTCTGTGTCACCCTGTAGTCTGACCTGTATAGACCACAAGACCACAGGTTAAGGATAATCCATATTCTTTAGCAGCCATATTCTTAATAATGAATATTCTTTAGAGCATGGCAGATGTTTGATCAAACTAGTTTAGGAGGGCTTCCAAACCAGACTTCAAAAAACCCATCCCTTCAAACACAGGGATTGCCTGTCAGAAGTGAGACCTTTTGGTCATATCCAAACATGTTATTTTCCATATCCATTCCTGTTGGGGTTTATTTGCATTTTATTAATGTAATGTATTATTTTTTCTTTCCCCCTTTTTAGCAAGTAAAATGAGAGCGAATGATTGATGTTGGATTGGGTAGGAAAGAAAAATAAACCCCTGGAATCTGTCACTTCCTGTGAGCTGCATTTGATGTTCATTGCTTCTCCATACCGTTTCCATTATAAGAAAATGCAACTGAACAGTGTAAGAGCTATGATTTGTGTAGACCTTTCAAGGTTCTCAAGGACCTTTCCTTTCTTATGATTCAATAAACAGGTGTTTTCTACCCTTCCTGGGAAGTAAGATGAAGATTCTTTACTTCTAGTGCTATCAATAGTGACACTGCATACATAATATTTTTAAAAAAGAGGAAAATCATTAAGTGAATTGAGGTAAAGGGGGAGAAATACAAAAAGCAGATACAGTCTCTGCCATAGCAGCTTGAAAGGATGTAGTATTTTCCTCAACTTTTTGTTCAAATACCATCTGCATGAAAGTAGTAAAATTTGGATCTCAAACTGCTCTGCAATGATGATGATTCCTGATCATCATTAGGGTGATATTTAAGACCACAAAATGGAAGGTGAGTCAGATTTTTTCAAGTGGATTATTTGAAGAGAGAGATTCTCAAGCAGGTTGCAGCAGACAGGTAAGTAACTGGATGCAGAGTACATTCACTCTTCTCTCCTCAGCATTTTCCACTGGAATTTTCCATTTTCTCTTTTCCACTCCCTTTCTCTCCAAGGGGGAACAACTTGAGTGTGAAGTTGAATCTTTAGGACTTCAGGTTGTGGTGGCAGCGCCTCTTTATTTTCTTTTAATTCTCTGCTATTGTAGCATGCACTGATCACACTTCTGTTGCTAGAATAGTCTCCCTCACCATTTTGTTCTGCTCCTTAACTTCTCGTTACCGTTTTCTGTTTCCTGGTACTCTGGGATGGTATCACATACAAGCAACTCTCTTCAGGTAGGTAAAACTTTCCATAAAAAAACCAAACCAACCCAAACAACAGCAGCAACAGCAGCAATATTTTTTAAAAAGGCAAACCAATAAAAAAGATCTGGGCAGTCTAAAAATCCACCACATGATCAGAAGTTATGTCAAAGACCTGCTGCGAACACAACTGAGTATTTTTGGGGAGTGTCCTCTATATTTTAGTGTGCAGTGCCACCCTATGACAAAGACAGGTAGGCAAGATTTCAGCAGGTGGGAGGCAAAACCTGGCCTTTTTCTAATTGCACATGTACACAGCAAAGAGGCACAGAGTATCTTCAATGCTCTATGCACAGCACCACACCAGGGCCTGATTCTGTTATTCTGGTTGTCAACTTAGTCTTGCTGGAAAAGTGCTATAAATTTTAATAAACTACTTGCTGAAGATTCTGTTTGAAAAAACAAAAAAAAAAGCTGCAAAATCAACTCTCAGAATTAGGTAATATTTGGTAAATTATGTACAGATTTTTTAAAATCCAAGTCTCTCACATCTAAAAATGCTTCCAAATCATGGAAAGGTCTTCATTATCTGTTTATCCCTTAAAAAAGAGGGGTTCTTCCATCCAGAGCAGCTCCTGATCATCACTGAAAGGTCTGTGAGTGGAAGACAGGAATAGATGGACTCACAATTCAGCTGGAAAATGTTTTCCACAGGTCCTGGGGGTTGATCTGGCAGATGTTCCTTTGGAAAGCTCTGGTATTGCACGTCCTCTCCAGTGTCTGCTGCTCTACCCCACAGCTCTTGTGTCATTGTCCCTCCACATGAGATTTCCCTCTCTTTTGCCATTGGAAAGGACTGGGAGCTTCCCAAGCAGCTGGGGACAGGACTGGCTGGATCCTGTCAGCTCTTTCTGAAGGGAATTTGGTCTAATCCTGCTGGTTTCTCCAGCAGCAAGGACTGCTTCCATGCTCCCTGTTGCCAGGCAATACGTGGCAGCCAAGTGAAGGAGAGGAAGTGAAATTATGTTTGCAGCAGGCACAGGTGTCTGTGCTGGTCATGTACAGGGTGTCCTTGGAATCACAGAATCATTCCAGTTGGAGGAGCCTTCTGAGCTCACAGTGCCTGGGGGTGCCAAGGCCACCACTGTCCCATGTCTTTCTTCGACCCATGTCCCCAAGCACTACATACACATGGCTTTAAATCACTCCTAAATTCATACACTTCGCAGAACATCTCCCAGAACAAAGCTTCCAACAACGAGGACTCTGGCTGCCCTTGGAAGCTTCCCTGTCGCAGCTGGTTGATCGTGGGGTTCAGCCTCCTAAAATTGTCGGCATCGCACAAGTTCTCCGAGACAAAAGTCTGACTACTTTCGGAGCCCAAAATGTCACCTCACACTTGATCCCAGGACACTGGGGAAAGAAGTTTTTTTCCTGTGGAAAAAGGCAACTATTTGTGTCCAGTCGCATCTGGGAACAGAGGAGTGCCATCTCCTAAAATCGCTAACATCGCAAGACAAAACCTACTAGCAACTAGGAATCTGACTGCCCTTGAAGCCCCAAATGCCACCTCTGAGTTGACCCTGAGACACTGGGGAAATCAGGTTTTTCCCCCAAGGCTAATGGCCACCATTCACTGCCAGTCGCAATAGCCAGCAGTGGGGTGCCATCTAAATTCACGAATGTCACAGGATTTCTCCCAGAACAAAGCTTCCAGCAAACAGGACTCTGGCTGCCCTTGGAGGCCCAAACACCACCTGTGAGCTGACCCTGACACACTGGAGGAATGAGGGTTCTTTTCCCCATGGAAAATATCCACTGTTCACATCCAGTCACTCTGGCTGACAGTGGGCAGCTGCCTCCTAAATTTGCCTATTTCACAGGATTTCTCTAAAGCCAAAGCTGCCAGCAACTAGGACTCTCACGGCCCTTGCAGCTTCAAAGACACCTCTCACCTGACCCCGAGACACTGGGGGTATAAGGTTTTTTTTCTCATGAAAAGTGGCCACCATTCCAATCCAGTTCCACGTCGCCTTATCGCAGCTCTGCTCAAAAACGTGAATTGGCAGCTGCATGTGGATACTTGCAGGCAGGTTCAGGACACTTCAGAAAGCTTCAATTTCTGAAGTCCCATCAAGGATAATGAGTTTTTTAGAAATCTCTTCGATGGTACATAAGAACCTGAGTGAGAAATTCGAATCTAACCTTTTTTTCCTTTGGTCTCACAGCCCAAATTCCAACAGGATAGACATGTCCCTCTCCTTGGAAGGCAACCTCTGCCTTCCCCAGCTTTTGGTGACCACTGTCTCCGTCCTCCCACACATTCTCATCTCCCTCCTCAGCAGGGTTGGCTTCTTCATCCTGTGGAGCAAACACAGGGACAGTCACCAACCTGCTCATCCCAAACCTGGGCAGCACAGCCAGACTGGTGGGACCCTCCGGATGGTCATCCCTATGCTGGGCACTGAAACAGAGGGTTGAAAATTTAGCTCTGGGTAGAAACCAATTTTGGATGTAGCTGGCATCTGCTTGTTTGATCTGTTAACTTGTGTGCTCACAAGAAGGCCTGCAGAGAGAACAAAGGAGAGGTCACTTAGAAAGGAATACAAGCATCCAAGCTGAAGAGAAATAAGAAAAGGCCCCACCGACCTTGAGGCTGAAGCAGACGAAAAAACCAAATCTGAGTTACAAACACTACATTACAACTACGTGACTGAAGAAATGCACAGGCTCATAAAAATTAATAAGACAGTTTCATACATATGCATATGTCTTTTATGTATATGCAACTGGTTAGGGGATAAAGCAGACTTGGGAATTTTTGGGGGATACACATGTCCTTGGGGAGCATGCATCCAGCGCTGAAATAAATCATACCGGCTTTAGAACTTTTACAAGTCGTGAAGTTTTTTTCCGCAAATCATTTGTGGTGAGCCAGCCAGGAGAGCCTCTGTCCCTGCCAGAGCAGGGCAGGGAGCAGACCTGGGATCTTCCCTGGAGGAGCTCCATGCCTCTGCTTGCCCCCTGTGGAGACACACAACGACCTGCTGGTGTGAGGATAAAATGGTACGTATCCTTAGAAGGGCCCTGGCGGGGAGGGAATAGGGCTGCTGATAAGCTGCTCAGAGATGTCTGAGTGCGGGGCCTCGTCCCTGTGTGAGTAAAAGCCTGAGGTTTTGCCGGCAGCCATCGGCTGAGTGCAGCTGGCAGCAGAGGGGTCCCCTGGTCCATAGGGTGACTGGGGAGGGGTTCACTGTTTGATTGCATGATGGCTAGCAGCCCTGGGGTTGAGCCAAGTGAATCTGCACCTTATTGCTACTACTGTGAGCTGAGTGAATCTGCACTTTATTGCTACGATTGTGTGCTTGTAGTGTGTGGACATGGTTAGTGCAGTTTGTAGTTGTGTGAGTGAGTGGCTTGGTGGGCTCATCTCAGCTTTCCTACTGTCAGGATGACCCGAGAGTCCCTTTTTCCCAGCCCGATGGTCAAAGAAAGAGTTGGGATTCTTTGGCTCTGTTTCACAAGGTTGTTTATTATTTATTATCTAAAATCTTTTTTCTCAGACCCACAGAGGCCTGCTCTGCAGGTCTGTCAAGGGCACACCACCCACCCCTAGGCTGGTGTCCACATTTTATACTATGAACTACTTGGCCACCTCAGATGCAAGTACTTTACCATTATTTTCCAATACCTATCGCCTAAGTTAGACTGTCTATTTCTATTCTAACCCAATCCAAATGTGCCACCATCACCAAGAAGATGGAGGCTAGGAAGAAGGAGGAAGAAGAATAGGACAACGCCCATGTCCCTTTATCTTGCCTCTTAGCCCCCCTATAGTAAAATCCCCAAAACTCCATTTTTCACCCGGTGATTAATTCATTACTACTCTACTTAAACTTCTGTGACTTGTGATTCTTCACACAAGACTGGTAATTTGCTCCATGGGTTAAGATCAAAATCCCAAGTGTCTTTGGCTTCCTGCCAGGACTCCCCAGCCCCCTGCCAGGGGCACATGTCACCCGGGGCACCCAGAGGGGTGTCCTGCTTTCCGACAGGTTCGGTTATCTGAAAGGGGGAGTGAGCGAGTCAGCGTACCCATGGTGCAGGGCGGGAGGCTCCACCTGCATCTGAGGCGGCCAAGTGGGACCCACGGAGGTGGCTCGGGAAAAGCAGAGCAAGCGGATAAGTGTGGGCAAGGACACCTAGCATATTTTAATGTGTTTGTGTAGATCGTGCATGTTTTAACCATGGCTAAATGAACTGAGGGGATTCCACTGCCTCAGTGGTTTAGTCTTGACTCCTGCGAGTTGGCGAATCCAGTTAATTACTGGATCCAATTAATTATTTTACTGTGTGCTGTTATTTTGATTGTGTCCAGAGTGTGTGAAGGCCAGAGGAAGCTGATGTGGGTGGATGCTAAAGTGTTGTATGCTGTGTTGTGTTGAGAAAAGTGGGCACTTTAAGAGATACCACCTTTTTGGTGAGTTTGTGTGTAAACTTTCTAGTTGCAGGGAACAGTATTCCCTGTGACAGCTGGTGTTTGAGTATGACCAGTCTCTCATCAACACTTTGTTTTTGGGTATTAAGTGATCCTTTACCTGTGAGACACAGGAGACAAGAGACAGACGCTGTAATACGGTACCTTTGTGATCCTTCTCCTTGTAGAGTTTGCAGAGTTCCTCTGTTAGAGCTGTAATAGACACAGCTTGTTATAGTTGACTCTTGTAAACTTAAGATATGGGAGGTTTGTGTAGCTCTTCCCTGTGGTAATTTGATTACCAACAGTGATTAATTACACTGTGGTATTTTGATTCTCGGGACTGTACGGTTATGTTTGTGGCAATTTTAGGATTTTGATTACAAGTGTAGCTTTTTATACAGAAAAAAACTATAATATGGTGATTTATGTTTAACTGTAGTAAAATGAATTAAAGGAATTCCAGGAATTCCCTTCCCACAGTAACTTAAGCCTTGACTCTCATGAATTTGAGATAGTGGGGGGTGGGGGGTGTGTGTTTGTGACCATTGGAGACTACCCAGAAGCAGTAAACAAAGCTCCTATTCCCACACCCTCTGTCCCCCAAAGTCCTGCTGGGGTTGGGCAGAGCAACAAAAATATCTACTAAAAATTTTCCCCTTGTGCCTATAAACCCAGAAAAATCATGGCTGCCCTGTCCCTGGAAATGTCCAAGGCCAGGCCAGATGGGGCTTGGAGCAACCTGGGCTAGCGGGTGGAATGGCAGGGGATGAAATGAAGTGATCCTTAAAGACCCCTTTCCACCCAAACCGGTCCTTGATTCCAGGATGATTCCATGATCTCTCCCTGTATTTATTTTGCATCATTTCCTTTCAAAACTGAATTCCCACATTTAAATTATTTTTTAAAGGAATACTTTAAAATTATTCCAGGAATATGAAGAGGGGCATCAAACATATAGGAATCATTCCTACGCCCATCAAATAATTATTAATTGGAAGCCTATTACCTCATTTTTGTCCCTGTTTTCCTTTCCTGAAAAACCTCATGATCCCACAGTTTCTCTGAAAGATCTACTGGGATTACTGGAAGCTTTGATCTGTCAGAGAGCCAGGAGGGTTTATAACACTTGTTCCTCTGTATCTTTATAATTTAACCAGCTTTCCCCCAAAATGGTGTTGTGGGAGAAGTTTGGAATTACTAGAAATGGATCAGGGTCCCCTTTTTTCCTCACTCTTTTCCAACTACTTCCAAATTCTTGGAATTTCCCTCAAATGAGGTCTAGAAATCTACTGTGAAAACAACAATCAGAAGAACATCTTGAAAAGAGAAAACAACATCCAACAGCAGCCAAAACAATCCCAATTCTATTCTTACCTGGTCTCCAGGTGTTCCTGCCAGAGCTCCCAAAAGCCATTGCCATTCCATGAAGGTCATGAGGCAGTTTTGCATGTGTTCTTTGCCATAGGATGGGATAACAGAGTCCACAGGGTCTTTTTGGTCCCTTCCAAGCCAAACTACCCCATAATTCCATATCATCAGCACCTATCCCAATGCCATTCCAGAAATCCCAATTCCATTCCTCCCATTAACCCAAAATTTCCCCCTTCCTCTTTTTGCTTCACATCAGGGTTGTGTTACCAAGTGCCATAGGAATGGGATGCCTCAGCATTCCCTGGGGTTGCAGGTCAAGGCTGACCTTGTGCCCTCAGTGCTCTAAAATGCCCAGCTGGCCCAAATTTCCAGGCAGTAATGTCTGAAACAGCAGTGCAGGGGTGTTCCCTCTCCCATCCCACCACTGGGACAGCTCACACAGAATGTGACAGACTTACTGGGTTTGGAACTCCTGGCTTAAAAAGCATGTGTTAATATCTTCTCCTGGATATATCC